AATCCTCACCCTAACCCAACCCCACCCATGGGCACCACAGGCAGGGCACCCCCATTCTCTAAGGGGGGTGCAGAAACAAGAGCACAAACGGGTCAGAGCTGAGCTGAGCACCCATCTGGGCACCCATGGGTGCAGGAACTCCCCCACAGCTGCAGGAGTGAAAGGGGCACCCCCAGCCCTGCTCCTGGAGCCTGCTGCCCCAGCACCTCTCACCAGCAGCACTTGGAGAGGCACCTGAGCAATAATTCACTGCTGGGGAGAGGCTGCTGTTATTTTATGGCCGTTGTTATTTCCTTCCTATTGTATTAAAATACAGGTCCCAGCCTGTATTTTAATTAAAATCTACAGAAGGCCGATAACTGCTCCCTCTGCATAATTGCAGGGAGTAAATTTTATTATATAGGAAAGTGGTTTTAATTTTTAATGGACTTATTTTTAAGGAAGAGCAACACTTTGGATGGATCTGTGAGCCCCAGTAAGATTATCAAAGGTGAGAAGAGGAACAAAGATGGGTTCATTACCTGTTCCCCATAAAACTGTTATTTTAGGGGAGTTTTGTGCTTCCTCCTAATGAGAGATGAATTGCACCAGCTTCATTTGCTGTAGGAGGAAAATTAAAATGAAACTGATAAGAGCCCAGCCTCTAGCTCCTGACTTACCTCCCAATTATAAATGAAAGCTCACAGGCATTCCAGAGATGGGGCTTGATGTCTACATTAATTATAAATAAATTATCTACACTTAATGTTTAAATGAAATTTCAGATAAAGCTTTATATTTAGAAGAGTGTTGCATCAGTGCATAAATATTTATGCAAGGAGTCTGGGTGAACTGCGTCTGCCTCAGCGTGACGTGGCAGCAGAGCTGGAGCAGGGAGCCTTGCGTGGGCCTTGGGAAGTGGCACTGAGCCCACCAGGAGGGGAGCAGGACAACCCTAAACCTGACCCTCCACTGGGGTTTGGAGAGGGGAGGCGATGGGGCACTCTGGGCACGTGCCAGTTGTCAGAGCAGCAGCCCACAGCCAGGGAGGTGACAATGACAACCCTCCATGCTCTCATCTTCCTCCACCCTCCAGACCTTGTGGCCATGTCCCACAGGACCCCTGAGGCACGTGGTGCCAGCGCTGGGGTGAGCCTTTAATGCAGCCAGAGTGGAGGAGGAGAAATCTGAGGGGCACAGCTGAAAGCCGTGTAGAAAAACAGTAAGGGAGGACAAAAAAAATTGGTGGAAATTGTTCATCCCCAGTCACTTGTGAAGGAGTCCAGATGAGGCCCAGGCAGGATCCTGCATCCTGAGGTGGGATATCAACCCTGGGCACACAGAGAGCTGCCTGTGCCCACACTCCTGCCCAGCCCTGGGATGTGCTTCATGCCATGAAAATCTGGGATGCAGCAGCTTTCCAGGGCCATGAATGCATTTGTCTTGTTTCTTTCTGATGCCTGAGACAGAGCACCCCTGTCAGGAAGAACATCCCTGTCAGGGAGAACCTCCTGGCCAGGGCAGAGCATCCCAGCCAAGGAGAACACCCCAAGGGAGATGTTCCATTTGCCAAGGAGAATATCCCAGCCAGGAAGAACATCCCAGCCAGGAGCACATCCTTGCCAGGTGCACTCATGACCCACCAGCGAGGGCTGAGCAGGCAGAGCCGGGCGCAGTTGGCCCAGGAATTTTAGCAGGGTCACCTTTGGTATCGCAGCACTGCACAGTCCTTGCTCTGCAATGGGAGCAGTATCTCATTTCTTCCTCAATTAGCTCCTGATTATCAGTGTCCCAGGGCCCCTTTCCAGTCTCTGTTTAATGCACCATTAATAATTCATTTCTCAGATAGCAGGAACGCAGCGCGAGGTTGGGGCTTTGTGACTAATAAGTACCAGAGCAACTCTCATCTCCAAGGGACAAATGAAGGCAACAAAAATAAAGTGGAAGAATCAAAGATAATATGTTTTGTGGCCTTTAATCAAATGCTGCACAACGGGTTTGATTACTCAGGTGAAGAACACACAACCACGCTGGGCCTCGCCAGCATCGTCCCCATCCCACTGCCTTCCCTGGCACAGAGGGAAATTGGGGCACCTCGAGTTCAAACTAGGGCTGCCCTCCTGCCAGGGTTAGAGGTTTAGGTACAAACTAGAGCTTTCCTCAAGCTGGAAAATCCCAGGAGCAGATTTCCCGCTGCCCAGCAGAGCCGGCGCGGTCGCTGAGGAGCTGCACGCACGCTGGCAGCTGCACATTAAGTGTGACGGGTTTCTGACAGATCCAATTATAAAGCCAAGCCTCAGCAGAATTGCAGCCCTAAGATTTAGTGCATGAAATTCTGTTTGGGAGTTTTCAGATATTGCAGTTTGTGCCAGGGGGTCTCTGCAGGCCCCAGACTGTGCCAGCACCTGCCAGCTGTGCCTGGGTTTTACCCCACTGTGCTGCATCCCCTCCCTGCCACATCCTGCCAACTCCCAGCCCAAATAGTCACCTAAAAATGGCAAGAAGGAGAGTGGCCACCCCAAGCAGCGCTGAGGAAGGGGGGAGTGCAGCCCCCCTGCTTTTGTGCCCCACAGGGACGTGCCCTGGCCCAGGGACTGCCCCTGCCCCTGCAGGGCTCACACACGGGCTATGGGCTGTAAATCACTTGACTCCAGGAGCTGAGGATCTGCCCAGGCCTTTCCACACAGCCCTAGCATGGTATTTTTAGCCCTTTCCTAGAAAAACAAGGTGGGCATGTGTGATGGTCTTGTTCTCAGCTGACCAGGGACTTGGCTGCCCTGGGAATGTTCCTCAGAGGAAAGCAGCCAAGAAACCTCCAGGGACCAAAAGATCTGGGCCAGTGAGGACACAGGGATGTGAGTCCAGCTGCTCCCACAGCGCTTTGGTCCGAAGAGAAGTCAAGTCTCTTTGCCAGGCACGGGGCTGTTGTGCTCCAGCCAGCGCTGCACAAGCTTGTTCCATCAAAACCCTGGGATCAGAGGGTTTGTTTACTTTTTCTAAGTGGCTGAAGCACAGGGTTGTGCCCCAGTGCTGACAGGGGGCCCTGGGATCACAGGTGGGCACGAAGCCTGGGGTGAAAGCTGGCAGCCTGCAGCGCTGCTGCCATCAGATCAGAGCAGCATCACCATCCCTGGCTCGGGAACCCAAGAGCTGTTGGGAAAACAGATTTGCCTTTACATCTGCGAGGCTGTTCCATCCTCTGCCATCCACAGCTGAGCCCAGCTGGCAGGAGCAGCCACAAGGACGGTGCCAGGGGGCTCGGTGACTGTGGGGGGCTGGAGTCTCCCCAGTCCTGGCTTTTGTACCCTCCTGGGGACGCCCAGTGAAGGGCTGCAACCTTTCCCAAGCTGGGATGGCTCCTTTGCACTGGCACCTCCTGGCTGGGCTGGTGGGATCCACACCGGGCACAGTGGGTACCTGAGTGCCAAGCAGCAGGGGCACCTCCCTGACTCCCCTGGGATGGGCAACCCCTGGTTTTGCCACCCCCAGCCCGGTGCCCTGGGGACATGCCTCGGCTGGCATCGCACAGCACACGCCAGGGAGCTGTTTGAACCTAAGCAGAATAAACCTACACTGATTATGTTTCCTGCCTCCCGGTCGGGGCGCGAGGGAAATTGTTTGATGCTAATCCCCTTGTTTAATCCAGCAGCATCCTGACATGCGAACAGGCAGGATTAACTCCGCCGGGACTCGGGGGACGCGCGGGGCTGCAGCGGGATGGGGACGCACGCTTCGCAGGCTCCCATGCAGAAACAACACGGGGAGAGGGCTTCTGCTTTTTGGGATAGAATTCCTCCACCACAAGGACTTTTCTGCAGGAATTTCCTCTAGTACAGAGAGGGGAACTCCAGCTGTCCCAGCAAAGCCATCTCCGGGTCTGTGCTCCCAGGCTCTGGAAGAGATATTGTGCAAGAGACAGATTTTCGGATGTGCCTGGGAAGCAAAATTCAGTCGCCATCCCCCTCACCCAGGATGCCCCCGACTCCTGCTGCTCATCCTGCTGCTGCCTGAGCCAGGAACACGAAGCAGGACGGAGCCACCCGCAGGGCAGGACCCCCAGCCCCGGGCATCTCCCTGATAAAGGTGCCTGGTGGGTCCTGCTTCGGCTGCTCTGCGCCCTCCTTGCCGCAGACCTGCCCCGGATTTCAAATTTCCATTTGCCTGACTTTATCTTTCAGACCCAGTTCTCATTATTCCTCTCTGTGCCAAGTTAAAGAGCCCTTAAATACCCAGTAGTTTTCTCCCCAGGACGACACTCGCAGGCTGTAATCAAGTCACATCTCAGGCTCCTTCCCGAGAACTCGGGCAGGCTGAGCTGCACAGTCCCACCAAACTCCACCCTGGGGAAAGGGCTGACCTGAGGCGCTGCCAGGTGGAGGAGCCAGAGGTTTTCCAGCGGTGCCTTGAGAGGGGAATCAGAGCTTTCATCTCCGGGTCTGATGTGCCCCCAGACTCTGGAAGAGATATTGTGCAAGAGACAGATTTTCGGATGTGCCTGGGAAGCAAAATTCAGTCGCCATCCCCCTCACCCAGGATGCCCCCGACTCCTGCTGCTCATCCTGCTGCTGCCTGAGCCAGGAACACGAAGCAGGACGGAGCCACCCGCAGGGCAGGACCCCCAGCCCCGGGCATCTCCCTGATAAAGGTGCCTGGTGGGTCCTGCTTCGGCTGCTCTGCGCCCTCCTTGCCGCAGACCTGCCCCGGATTTCAAATTTCCATTTGCCTGACTTTATCTTTCAGGCCCAGTTCTCATTATTCCTCTCTGTGCCAAGTTAAAGAGCCCTTAAATACCCAGTAGTTTTCTCCCCAGGACGACACTCGCAGGCTGTAATCAAGTCACATCTCAGGCTCCTTCCCGAGAACTCGGGCAGGCTGAGCTGCACAGTCCCACCAAACTCCACCCTGGGGAAAGGGCTGACCTGAGGCGCTGCCAGGTGGAGGAGCCAGAGGTTTTCCAGCGGTGCCTTGAGAGGGGAATCAGAGCTTTCTGATGCACTGATGACAAATGAAATGAGCTGTGAAAAATAAATTGCTGCGTTGCCCTGACTCTGTGAGCACACCCGGGGGGTGCTGGGGCAGGAGGGCACAGGCACTCCTGGGGCTGTGCCCATCCTGGCAGCCCGTGGGCAAACAATCCCAATCTCCCAAGCTCCTTCAGGGTGCTTCTGCCAGCAGAACTTGCTGCAGCAGCTGTTTGCTGCGGGGCTAATGGTGCCCATCTCTGCTTACAGGCAGCGAGTCGTGATGGCTGCAACTTAAGTGGAGCTGAGATAAGCAAAGGTGCTTCCAGGCACAGACTTTTTTCCAGCCTGGGGATTTGGCCACGGGCTGTGAAGGATGCCAGTCCTGAAGGATGCTGGCTCAGGAGGATGCAAGCCCTGAAGGACACCGAGCAAGGTCACAGCTCCCATCGCTGCAGCTTGGCTGCTCCCTGCTGCCAGGCCCAAGGTGACTGAGCCCCTGGGAAGGAGAAATCAGATGCAGCTGATGTTAAAGCAGGGATGCAGAGGGGAAAATAAGCAGAGGATGGATACAAACCCACTTGCAAAACCCACAGAGACTCACTGTGCTGTCCTGGCCCTGTATCCCATAAAGTCGGCTGCACCCCCTCAAAAAGGGGCAAGTTTTACAGAAATTCTGGTTTGGGCTGTCCCAAAAGGACAGACAGATCTGCCAGGGTTGGTGAGAGGTTGTACCACCCAGTGCTGTGGGCACCCACTGGGCTAACTCACAACCTGAATTCTCCAAGCACAAATCAGGGCAATTTGAGCTGAGCAAATCGCTCTGGAGTCCCTGCGGGAGGGATCCTGCCTAGGGAGCGGGAGGAGAGGCCATCCCAGCCCACAAGGAGCTACAAATAACTCAAACGGCCTCATTACCCAGTTTCTGATGCACAGGAGTTTGGTTTCCCCGGGGCCATGTCCACCTGAGAGCGGGCTCTGTGTGCCTGACACTGCGGGAGCCTCTGGTCCCCTGCACATGTCCTTGTCCTTCTGCAGCATCCCCGGGACCTGCTGAGCATCCGCATTGCTCGCTAGCACGGGGCGTCCCCGGGCCAGCAGCAACACGTGTGCCAGGATCCCGCGGGGAAGGGACACGCGTGGAGCCGCAGGTGTGAGCACTGCAGCCCCTGGACTCGCCGGAGCATCCCCCCGTCCCCCACCATCACCTCCCGGTTCCCAGAACATCCCCCGCTTCCACGGGCATCCCCTGGTACTCGCCGGATCATCTCCCGGTTCCCTGGGCATCCTCTAGTTCTCCGGGCATCCCCTGGTTCCCCGGGCATCCTCCGGTCCCCCCGAATCGCGGGCATCTCCCGGTTCCCCGAACATCCCCCGGCTCCCCGAACATCCCCTGGCTCCCCGAGCATCCCCCGGATCGTTTCCCGGCTCCCCGGGCATCCCCCGGTCCCCCGGATCGTTTCCCGGTTCCCCGGGTATCCCCCAGCCCGGCCCGGGGCTCCCTCTAGCGGCCGGCGGCGGGGCAGCACGGGCGGCCCGGGGCTGCACACCCGGTGCCGAATCCCCCGGTACCGAATGCCCCGGTATCGAATCCCTCGGTACCGAATCCCCCGGCACCCGATCCCGTGGTACCGAATTCCCCGGTACCCGATCCTGTGCTACCCAATCCCTCGGTACCGAATCCCCCCTCCCACAACCGGCCCGGTCCTGCGCCCGAGCCCCGTCCCGGCTCCTGCCGCAAGCCCCGCGGCTCCCCCGCAGCTCGGATGCAAAGCTTCCCAGGGAGCTCCCAGGTGACACGGAGGGGACGCCCGGAGCCCCCCGGGACCCCTGGGCTGCCCCAGAGGGGTTTCGGCTCGTTCTGCGCCTCGGGAAGGTTCGGTCTTGGGTGGGTGGGTGAGACGGGTCGCTCAGGCACTGTCTGTGGGTGGGGTAGGGCCGGGGCAGCCTCACAGGCTTCACTGTCCCCTGGGGACCCCTGTTCTTCTGGCACAGGGCACAGTGGGTTCTGGCTCTGGGGCACTGTCCCCCCTCGAAGCCTCCTGTACCCAACCAGCCCTTGCCACGAGTGATGCAGCCACCCTGCCCGTTCAGTCTAGCGTGTGTGTTTTAATGGAGACACTTCAAGTTCATAAATCAGAGTGGAGAAGCACTGGGCTGTGTCCTGGACCCACAGAAAGGGATGGTTCTCCTGGCAGGGTTGTGGAGGAGAAGGCAGCAGCATGGGGAGCAAGGAAGGGTTTGGGTGGTTTTCAATCCCAGCATCTCATCCTTCCTACATGGGTGCAGCAAAGCTCCTTCAGCAGCCATGGGATCCAGCTTGGGATGGGCTGCTGGGGCTCAGACCAGTGAGGAAGAGAGGAGTGAGCCATGGCTTTCTGTCCAAGGGTCGAGGAAGCCTCCCCTTTTCATGCAGCACCCTGAAAATACCCTGTGAATACTCTTCTGAACACAGCCCGTGCTAGAAGGACAGGCTGTAGGTGGCAGAGCAGTACTCCAGGTAGTCAAACGCCTTGATGGGGAATGTCACAGCACCCCATTTCTTGTACCTCCTCTTCTCTGCTGGTGTCTCCACCACAAAGTTTTTGATGCAGAGGATAGGCAGCTTCACCTGCCGGTACAGCATCTCCATCCCCCAGTCCTGTGTGACAGGGAGGGGACAGTTACCCGAGGCACACACAGCGTCCCCAGGCTGCAGGGCCACAGGCATGGGACAGTTCAGAGTGAGAAAGGGATGATTGGAGACCCAAGGCATATCCCAAGGCATGTCCCTCCTTTGGAGACAGCCTGTGCCCGTGTCCTGCAGCACACACATGACACAGGCGTGTGCAGCCGTGAGCTGGGGCACAAGGCACAGCCCTTCCTGTCCCTCCAGCTCTGACTGGGCTGCAGACACAGGGGAATTGTGGCGCTCACCTGGCTGCAGTCTTTGCAGGAAATGCGGCAGCCGGGCTCCCAGTCCTTGAAAGTCCTCGGGAACTGTATTTTCCCAGAGGAAACTCTGTAATACGACCTGGAAGGAAGGGGCCACCAGACAGTAAGGATGATGGTGCAGGGACACAAGCAGGTGCTCCCACAGTCAAACAAAGCTCCTGCAATCCCCCTGTACCGAGGTCCCTGACAAAGAGCTGTCAGCAGGCTGGTGGTACCCTTACCCATCTGCCTGCCCATGAGCCTCCTACCCGAATTTGGGGTTGATGTTGACGTGGTGCATGCCCTCCACCGTGCGGATGTCGCTGCCCTGGCACACGGCCCTGTTGCAGTTGATGCAGTACAGGCGAACGGCGGCCGGGTCGTGCAGCTGCCGCCGCTCGCTGATCCTGGCCTCCTTCATCAGCCAGCTGGCCACGGCCACCTGCTGCAGCTCCTGGATCTGGGGGGTGTGGTGGTGCATTTTAGTTAAATGGCAGGCCCCAAAATGTACGGTTTATTCCAAGCCTGTGGTCCTGCCCTGAAGTCGCATGTATCTGTAACCCCATTGGCCCAAATCTTATTCTGCTCCCACTTTGAATCTCCCTCTTAAGCTGTGCAAGGCAGACCAGTTGCCCTCTTGGCCCTTCTCCCCCTAGGCTCTCCCTCTCTCCCCCTCCCTCCCCCTTCCCCCTTCCCCCTCCGTAACCATGCTGCTCCCAGGGCTTGGACCCCCAATAAACCCTCATCTAATCAGCACCCTCAGGAGCCGTGTGGAGTCTCCTTGCCTGCCTGCTGCTACCAGCGAACAAACAGCCCCCCCAAATGACCCCCAACAGGTGGGGACAGGGGTCAGCACAGGACAGATGGCAGACACAGCAAGATCCATGGCTACCGAGGGATGCATCAAGCACAGAGAGGGACAGGCAGGGCACATGCTGGTCCAGACCCCTCACACTACCCCATCCCAGGATCTGGTGTTTCCCTGAGACACAGCAGGCAGCAAGAGCTGCCTGGCCCTGCCAGTGCCCCCAGCAGCACCCAGTACCCACCTTTTGGAAGTACTCCTGCTCAGGCATGGCTTGCACAGCCTGAATCGCGCTCTTCATGAGCTCCACCAGGTCTTCATTGAGCAGCTCTCGGGTCACCTCCCTGGTGTTGGCTTTGGCAAGGACAGAGTAGACACTGTTCTCAGCACGGGCACGGCCCCGGGCCTGCAGGGCAAGGTCAACAGTTGCAGTCAACTTGCAGTCAACTGCAAGGTCAAATGTTGGCTGTGTCCCTCAACAGAAGAGGGACACAGCCAACTCTTCTGTGCTACCCTGTGAGGACAGAGCCACCTCCACCCTCCCCTGCGCCTTGCCAAGGAGATGTTCTGCCAGGGGCTGGGCTCATCCCCAAGGAGCTGCCTGCAGGGAATGCAAGAGCCCCCATGTCCCACCCCCGTGACTTTGGGGGATCCTGGCAGGGCCAGAGGGAGCCTGGGCAGCACCTGCATCATGGCAATCTCGTTGGTCATCAGCCCATAGCGGACAACGATGTTGCACTCGGGGATGTCCAGGCCCTCCTCGGCCACACTGGTGGAGAAGAGCAGGTTGAGGGATCCCTGACGGAACTGCTTGATCACATCCTGCTGCTCATTCTGGGTAGACAGAGGGGTGATGTTTCAGCAGCTGTGTAGGGCTCTGAGACCCCCAAAATGTGCAAAGTGGGGCGGGTGCAGTTCCTGCCCACCCTGCACTCACCTGTGTCATGTGCCTGGTCTGGTTGCTGTAGCCGGCGCCGGTGAGGACGGCAGCCCTGATGTGCTGCCCACGGAGCGTGGCCATGGTCTGCAGCCAGCTGAGCAGGCTGTGGGCACTCTGCCTCGTCTTGGTGAAGACGATGCCACGAGAAGTGCCCAGGGGCTGAAAGTGCTCACGCAGGATCCCCTCCAGCTTGGCCAGCCTGGGGTTCTCATAGCGGTGATCCCCAGCAAGCGCCTGCAGTCTTGCCCTGTTCTCTGCACAGGTGAGCGGGGTGTCAGGGACACTCCCTGCACCCCAAATGCAGCCAGCATCACCCCCCTCCAAGCCCCTCTGTTACCCTCAAACGTGGCAGTGAGGAACTGCTCAGTGGGGTCCTTCATATCCCTCTCGGTGCTGTAGAACTGCTCGAGGCACTGGAAGGCGTCGACCATCCTCACGGTGTCGTTGATCAGCAAGGCGTCGTTGTACTTGCGCAGGTGCAGGGCGCACACCCGCGTCTTGCGACAAAACATCTCTGCAGCTGGCAGGGCAGGGGACACGGCAGTCACAGCCTGGCCCCGCGGCTCAGCCCTGCCACACCCAGCCTGCCACACCCTCACCTGTCTTCTCCAGCTCCACAATGCGCTGCTCGTAAATCTGCGTGCCGAAGTCCCGCGGGAAATCCGGCTTCTCCATGAACTGCTGGATCTGCACCATCACCTTCTTCAGCTGCTCACCAAAGGGGTCCTGGGAGCAGAGAGGGGCTCAGGACCCAGGAATTGTGGCTTGCATGGTGGGACGCAGATAGTTGCAGGATTTCCCAGCACCAAAGCTCTGGGTCAACTGATTTTTCACACTGGCCTGAGCAAAGCAGATGAAGGCCCCTCACCAGCAGGGCCTGGGGGTCTCATCTTCCACCCAGCGAGCACCCCATGGCTCTGAGCAGCCATCCCTCACCTGCACTCTCTCCTGGCACAGGTCATACTGCTTCTTGGGTTGGGGGACGTGGCTCTGCAGGTGCTGCAACTCGTCCTGCACTGATGTGATCTTCTCAGTGTCCAGGTTGGCACAGATCTGAGAGGAAAAGACCCTGCTTCCACCCTGAGCCCAGCTGCCAGGACAATGCAGTTTGGGGATGACTCCTCCAAGCTGCCCAGCGCCCACACATCTGGGCATCAATCCCCATCCCGAGGAGCACCCTGCTGAACCCCAGGGGAAGCTGTGCTGAAACAGGACAGGGGGCACAAGACATACCTGCAGGATGTGTTCCAGAGCTCCCTCAAAGGATGTTGCCCCTCCAGTGCCAGGGGATGCCGTCAGCCCCAGGACCTGTGGCAGGTCCTGCTCCCCACTGAGCTTGCGCTGGAGGTATCTCAGCATGATCTTGTTGTAGACGGCGTCCTTGTGCGTGTGGTGGCACTCATCTATCACCAGCAGCGAGAAATCTGCTCCAGGCCAGGGAGGGGAGCGGGGTGAGATGGTTGCTCAGCTGGGGGCTCAGCCTCAGCAGTAGATGCAGCCTGGTGCCCACCTGTCAGCTCCACGTGCAAGTCCTCCTCCGTGCTGACCAGGGCGTTCTGCAGAATCTGCGCCGTGCAGATGACAACGTCGCTCTTCTTCACCAGGTCGGCAAAGAAGGTTTTGTGGCTGGTGTCCCCACTGATGGACGTCACCCTGAAGGTGTCCTGCAGCGCGTGGAACTCCTTCTCGGTGTGCTGATCCACCAGGTGCACCTGCGCCCACAGGACCGCACTCAGCACCGGCCAGCACCACCAGCGGTGTCCCCGCGGTCCCGGGGCAGGGCGGCACCTTGTTGACAAGCACGGCCACCTTGGCGCCCCGCCGGCTCTCCAGGTGTCGCCGGCAGACGTGGACGGCCACACGGGTCTTGCCGGCGCCCGTGGGCAGCCACACGATGCTGTTGCGGCCGCGCAGGGCCGGGGCCGCCGCCTCCCGCTGGTACCCCCGGAGCTCCATTCCCCGCCGCTCCGCGTCCCGGAGCCGCCGCAGTCGGGAAACGAAACTGGAGGCGGCGCCGAGAGCGGCGGGCGGGGCACGGCGGAGGCCCGGCAAGGGGGGGCCACGCCGGCCGCGCTGGGGCAAACCGAGCCGAGCCGAGCCGAGCCGAGCCGAGCCGAGCCGAGCCGCCCGCCGGGATCCCCCGGGAGCCCCGGCTCCGAACTGGAACCGAAACCAAAACTGAGTGGAGCTCCCATAGAACCTCCCCGCACCCAGATCGCCCCTGCACCTCCGCCTGTCAACACCCTACACCCCAACCAAGCTCTGCACCCCAATTCTGCCCAGTGCACCCCGGCCCAGCCACGGGGATCTTCACTCTCCCCATCCCGAGCTGTTCCTGTTCCCGTCCCCAGCACCATCCAGAATATCCCAGGTTGTCCCCCCCACCTACCACGCTGGGGTGCGCCCCAAGGAGGGATCTAGGGCTGCACAAGGACATTTATTAAAAAAACAAACAAACAAACAAACAAATCAATGAAAACACCAGTCAAGTGGAATGGGGGAGTGGGGGGCAGGGAAAGGGGTGGGGGGCACAAGGAGGAGAGAGCAAGGTGGAGACAAGCAGAGGTGGCTGCCAGCCAGAGCACAGCAGGGAGCAGAGGCCAGCACAGCACCGGGCAGCCACCCTCCCTGGCACTCAGAGGGGCAGGACTGGGGCTGGCAGCCCCCCACTCCCCAGCTGGCAGCAAGGGCAGGCAGGGAGGATGTACAGGCAGGGAAGCAGACCTGCCCTGGCGGAGGGAAGAGCTGACAGAGGCAGCAGGAGCTGGGTGTGCAGGGCAGAGCCCCCTGCCCAGCAGGACCCTGGCCCAGGAGCAGCACCGCTGCGGGCAGCGCGGGGCTGACCCCGCCGTACATTCAGTGTGAGGGGCAGGGGCTGCCTGTAGGTGGACGGAGCAGAAACCAAAGCACTTGTGTGCCCCTGCCCTGTCACAGGGAGTCAGGGCAGAAGGCACGATCCCAGGTAAGGGGGATGCACAGGGATCAGGGGGCTCCCCCTCCCCAGGCAGAGGCAGGAGCTCAGTGCTGTCCCTACCCTGGGCAGATCCTGATGAGGCAGCTCCAATTCCCTAGGAGAGGCAGCCAGAGCACCTCAAGCATAAAACCACCACTCCCCCAACCCCTGTGGCTTCCCAAGAAGGAAAGCCCAGCTCCCCAGGCTGCTCAGCAGCACCAATCCCTCCAGCAGCTCCTACCAACAGAAAGAGTGGGGCTGGATCCCACAGGAGCCCTGTCCCTGCCATGGGAGGACCGGTGGCCACAGCAGATCCAGGCCAGCCCTCACTACTTGTCGATGAGCCCCCCCTCCTTGAGCTTGAAGTAGAAGAACTTCTCGAGGGTGTTGGCACACTTGCAGTAGTCGCTGTCGGGCGGGTTGTACTCGCGGCAGTTGGTGATGATGCGCTGCAGGTCGGCGATGAACAGCTTCTTGGTGACGTAGTAGCGGTTCTTCAGCCGCTCCGTCATGGTCTTCAGGTCTGCACGTGGGACAGGTCAGGACCCCTCCCCAGGTTTCTGCACGCCCCAGCCACTGACGTGGATACCAGCCATGTCTCAGCTCACCCCTCTCTCACTCTGGACCATCCCGAGGCTCCCACCGCCCCAAGCATGAGTCCCCAGCACAGAGCCCAGGATTAATGTGGGGTCCTCAGCCCCCTCTTCTGCAATCCTGTCCTGGGGGGCTGGACACAGCAACCTACCAATAGGGAAGCGGATGATCTCATAGTAGTCTGGTGCCTCTGACTTCTTCACTGGCTCCATGAAGGGCCACGCACTGGGGTGGGTCTGGGGAGAAGTGGGGGGCAGTTGGAGCAATGAACACACAACCCTTGTCTGCTCCAGCACCCAGAAGTGCTGCTCCCCCCACACCTGGGTCACCCCAGCAGTCCCCAGGGGCAAAGCCCTGTACAGCCCATCCCAAGGAAGGAAGCTCTAAGGGCTGTCAGGTGGACAGGCAGCCCAGAGTGAGGGTCCTTTCCTGCCCACACCTTGATCTGGGCCAGGAGGTTCTTCAGCATGTTGTAGAGCTGGTCTGGGTCCTTCAGCTCCTTCCTGCAGGACAAAGGCAGTGCCCATCAGCCTCTCTCCACTCCAGGGCCAGCAAAACACCAAGACTGAGGCACAGCCCGAGCTGAGCCCCCAGCCCTGCTGCTGCAGATCTACCCCCACCCCCATGCAGCACTCACCCCTTCTCCTTCCCCAGTGGTTTCCATCCTGTTTCTCCTGGAAGACAAGTGTCAGTGTCACCATGTCTGCGCTGCAGCCATGGGGAGGGAGGACAGAGCCCTCCTGCCAGACCCCCTCCCAGGACTCACGGATGCCAGGCACGCTCTCGATGGGGATCTGCCGCACCCCCTCCTTGAAGCAGGTCAGGCCCGGGTAGACTTTGCGGATCTGCGCCTGTTTCCTCTCGATCAGCTTCTTGATGATCTGCAGGGAATGAGGGTTGGAAAGGTGCAGAGGAGTGGGGGGCTGCAGGATGCTCCAGGGAGCCACACACTGTGATGTGGGACCCCACAAACCCACCGTGCAGGACCAGAGACAACCCAAGCTAATGTCAATGTCACCAGTGCTCCCTCACTGCCCTGCAAGTCTGCTCTCATGGCCAGCAGAGTCCCACACCTCTCCTCTGCTTTTGGGGATGGCTGCAGTCACCCACCCTTGTGCCCACCCCTGGGCCATACCTCCTTCTGCTTCTTGATGATGTGTGAAAGCTCGGTGTAGGGGATGCGGGGGTTCAGCTCACACTCCATCAGGGTCGCCCCCTCGTAGTCCTTGATGTATCCCAGGTAGCGGCTCTTGGGGACCTTGATGTCCTTGGAAAAGCCCTAGGAGAGAGGGGCAGGTGGGAGAGGGTAGGTGGGAGGAGGCAGGTGTGCAGCAGAGCTGGGAGCAGCTCCCAGGGAAAGGAGCCCACCTGCTTTTTGAAGTAGCCAATGGCGTACTCGTCTGCATAGGTGAGGAAGTAGAGGATGTTGTGCTTGATGTGGTACTCCTTCAGGTGGTTCATCAGGTGTGTCCCATAGCCCTTGGGGAAGCACCATGAGACAAGGACCCCCCCAGGCAGCCCCATCTGGGATAAACAACCCCCTCCCACCCACAGAAAGGGCAGCTGGAAGATGACCTGGAGCAACTACCGCAGCTTGGGGCTGGCCAGTGCTGAGCAAGTTTGGCTGCCCAAGGGGCTACACCAGCTACAGAGAGACCATCCTGCCCACGCCAGGATGCGTGTGCCCACCTGCCTGCTCTCACCTTCACTTGCTCATTGGAGGTGACAGCACAGAAGACAATCTCCGTGAAGCCTTGGGTAGGGAACATGCGGAAGCAGATGCCCCCAATCACTCGTCCATCCTTGATCAGTGCCAGGGTCTTGTGCTTCCTGCGGGCAGCACGGCCGAGGGTGAGGGGAGCCCCCCACACCGGCCCCCATGCACCCCCCAGCCACGCACGGGTCAAAGACGAGGCGAGTGATGTACTCCTTGGGCATGCGGGGCAGCTGGTGAGAGAAGACATTCTGCAGCCCCACCAGCCACATCAGGATCTTCTTGTTGGATTTCTGGGAGAGCGAGTTGCCGATGACGTGGAACTCGATGATGCCGCGGCGCTCCTCCAGCCGCGCCGTCTCGTCCCGCGCCGCGTTGGCCGACAGCAGGCTGGTCTGGGGGCACGGGGGGGGTCACTGACCCTGCACACCCTCTCTGGGGGAGCCCACTCCACCCTGGCATGCTGGGGAAGCAGCTCTGTGGGACGTGGAGAGTGCCACAGGCATGCCCCAGCAGCCGCAGGGCATACCTCGGGGCCCAGCATGGCAGCAGGGTCTGTGATGGTCAGCATGACCTCGTTCACCAGTTCCATGGGGATGTCTCCCATGACACGGATCCGCTTGGCATCCTCCAGCGTCAGGCTCTCAGGGAGCTTCCTCTTCTCTCCTGGCATGGGAGCAGAGCGGCACATCCAATGCTGGGAGGGACCACGGACAGTTCCAGCTTTCTGGCGTGGGCTCATGGGACCTTACCTGGCAGGGGCTCTGGGGTGCTGGTGTCCAGGCTGGTGGCCGAGCTGCTGCTGCTGAGCTTCTTGCTGAAGAGAGGAGTGGTGGGCACGGCAACGGTGCTGACTGCAGCTGCAACAGACCCATGGTGCCCACGACTGAAAATGCCTCATCACACCACAGCAACCCAGCCACAGCCACTGCTCTGCCACACCCTGGCCCTTTATCCCTCAGCCCCCAAACAGGGGGAGCTGATTCCTGAAATACCTGGGCGAGACACCAGCTGGGTACCCTCTGCAGCTGGCACTGTGAAATCAGCCTCCCAGATCGGAGAGTTCTCACCGTAGATCTCCTCCTCCAGCATGGAGAGGAACCTGGAAGGGAGTGGCACATCAGCACACAAGCACCCCAAAGGAGGAGCGCCCTCAGTGCTCCAGCAGCCATCTCCACACTGGGCACCTACTTGGGGAAGTGGGTGAGGATCAGTGTCCGCTTCTCCGGCACCAGCTTGTCCTTCTCCACCCGGAACTTCTCCAGCAGCTGCCGGCGGGTCACCGTGAAGATGGACTTGAGGAGGCTGCGCCCGAAGACGTGGGTGGTCTCATAGCGGGGCAGGCTGTCACAGCTCTGTGGCACATGGCAGTAGCACAGCCACCTGTGGGACAGGAAGGGGCTCTGGAGACAGGGCTGGAACCAGAGACCCCAGAGCAACCATATCCCTCCTGGGACAGTGCTGCTGGGAGCAGGCTGGATGAAAGGCACAGCTGACATTCAGAAGCTTTGGCCCCAGTGGGTGCTTGTGGTGGCTGGCTCAGTGGCCCCCTGCTCTCCTCACCTGGTGTAGTTGACCTTGTAGGTGGCCACATCGTCATTCTGGGAGCGCTGACGGAACTGGGACGGTGTCTCCAGCTTCCAGTAGTTGAGGCACAGCAGGAACATCTTGGAGAGCTCATACATGGTCTGGCGCTCCTTGGGCGGCAAGTGGCTGAACTTGTACTGCACGAAATTCAGGACTCCCTGGGGAGAGGATGGGAGGGTGCCAGGGGCTGCTCTGGGCTCTTCCATGCTGCCTCCCAGAGAGTGAGGGGACCTTGCAAGAGCAGCAGAACACAGGACAAGTCATCAGGGCAGTGTTGAGAGCAGCCTGACAGCAGCCTCACCTGCTCAATGTTTGGTTTCTCAAAGGGAGGGCTCCCCAGGGACCCCTCGACCACAGGCTGGCTCATCTGCAGGATGCACTTCCGCAGCAGCTGCAAAGACACCAACAGAGACGATCAAAAGAGTCCCAGGAACTGGATGCTCCAGGAATGGTGGAGGTGGCCGAATGCTGCCGTGGGGCTGCTTCAATTTCTGCAGCCAGGAAGGCACTGGTGCTACCCTTGGAGCACAAACATTCATCCCCTAGAACTGCCCCCCTAGGGAATTCAGGGCCAGGAGAGCAGTGACTCCAGAAGAGGGTCAGCATTCCAGGTCTCTGGGCTGTGGGATGGTTCACAGCCCCAGCTTCAGCACCAGCTCCAACAGAGCACAAACAGTGGGACAGCAGCCCCACAATGACAGAAGCTCTGCACAAGTCCCCCCATGAGTGGGGCAGTGAGACACATACAGCTCCAGACGCACCTTGAACAGGTAGAAATACACCTGCTTGGTGTCCGTGTCCTCCTCCTTGTGCACTGACATGAAGAGGTTCTCCACATCCACCACCATGCCCAGCAGACGGTTGATCTCCTCCTCTGAGACGTTCTCCAGGTGGGACACGTGGTCCGCTGTGCCAGAGAGAAATCCACAGTGAGACCAGGGGACCAGCACTGCAGTGACACTGAGTGAGGGATCAGCACCACAGTGACACTGAGGGACCAGAACCACAGTGACCCTGAGGGACCAGCACTGCAGTGACACTGAGGGACCAGAACCACAGTGACACTGAGTGGGGGATCAGCACCACAGTGAGAACAAGAGATCAGAACCACAGTGACACTGAAGGAGGGATCAGCACCATAGTGACTGAGGGATCAGCAGCACAGTGACCCTGAGGGACCAGCACTGCAGTGACACTGAGGGACCAGAACCACAGTGACACTGAGTGAGGGTGCAGTACCAGTGAGGACAAGGGAGCAGCACCACAGTGACACTGAGGGAGGGATCAGCACCACAGTGAGACCAGGAGATCAGCAGCACAGTGACACTGAGCGGTCAGCACCACAGTGAGAACAAGGGATCAGCACCACAGTGACACTGAGTGAGGGATCAGCAGCACAGTGACACTGAGGGAGGGAGCAGCACCACGGTGACACTGAGGAAGGGAGCAGCAGCCCTCGCCCTGCCCAGGGGGTGCCACAGGAGTTACCCAGTGCATGGCCACAGCTCCGGCACGGCTCGCTCAGGTTGGTCACTGGCTGCTGCAGGTCCATCCGAGGGGCTGTGGGCGGGTTGGGGTTCTTCCAGCCATTGCACTTGCAGGCATCGTTGGCCTGGGAAGAGGGACAGCAGTGGTCGTTGCAGTAGCTGCCACCTTCTGTGGCCAAAGGATTTCCCTGGCTCCCACCTACCCCTCTTCACCCAGCCCAGCTTTTCTCAGCCCCCACCCTGCATCACCTACCCCCCCAGCACTGCTCCGTGCAGCCCCAGGACCCTGCAGCCCCTGCCCACTGACATCTCTGCACCTCCCTCGGGTAACTCAGCATCCTCTTCCTGCCCCCCTGCCTGCACCCAGCCCAGCACCCCCATCCTGCACATCCCAATCCTGCATCCTTTGTCCATGTATTCCTTGCTCTCACCCTCCTGCATCCCTAAATTCCCCTAATACACCCATAAACGTCCTTGCAGCCCCCTCCTGCATCCGCTACCCCGGTCAGCATCCTCATCCTGCATCCCCCTCATGTCAGCATCCTCATCCTGCATCCCCACCCAGGTGAGCATCCTCATCCTGCATCCCCACCCATGCACAGCACTGAACTCCCACTCCGGTATCGCCTGCACCCCCAGCCATGCCCGTCCTTGCCTCCCCCATTCACGCACAGCCTCGAACCCCCCCTCCCGCCCTCCGTGCCCTCCCGGTCCCGCTGTCCCTCACCTTGCAAGCCGAGAACACCCCCAGCTTCTCCAGCTTCTTCCCGCGGGGGAACCCTCGCACCTGCGCCTTGCGCTGGCTCGCCCGCTGCTGCTGGCTCAGCCCGGGCCGTGCCGGGTCGCTGGACCCCGCTCCTCCAGCCGTCACCCCGCTCGCCCCCGCCGTCCCCGTTGTTGCCGTGCCCGGGCCCGGCGGGGGCCGCCCGGGCTGCGCGGCCTCCGGCTCCGCCATGCCGGGCCCGGCGTGCGCCCCGCGCTCACTGCGCCTGCGCGCCGGGAATGCCGGGAGCTGTAGTCCGCGGCGGCGGGAGAGGCGGGGCCGCTGCTCCCGGGACGGCGCTCCCGGGGCCGGTTCGCGTCACCCGCTGTCCCAAACGGGAGCAGAGCTCCCACTCGGCACTGCGGGTGGCGTGTACCGTCCAGAGAGGACCGAGGTCCGGTCATGACGACGCACGGCGACAGCCCCTCACGGGGCGATGGCGAGCCGTCGGTACCCGGAGTAACCCTCGCACCCCTCCGGTAACCGGTACCGCTCCGCATTCCGCTGACTCCCGCAAATATGGAGCATGGCCACGCCCTCTTCTCCAAATGCGGTGTGTGACCCGCCCTCCGCCTTCTCGCACCGGCACGGGGTGCGGCCGGCGGGGAGCGTGGCCGCGCCTCCCGACCGGTACCGACGGGCGGCTCCGCCCGCCTGGCCATTTACGAGAGACCGCGCCCCCGCTCACCGCGGGGGAAGCGGATTAGCGCCGGGCTGGTGCGCGGAGTGCGGGCACCGCCTGGAAGGTGCCAGAGCTGGCGGGGTGGCACCGCACGCGAGTGTTCCAGCACCATCCCGAAGATGGGAGTCGCTTGTCCGAAGGCTGCCCAGGGGATCCTCAGTGCTGCACATAGCCTGGAGCCCCCCGCCCATCCTCCTCTGCCAGGGCAGAGCTGGGGAGAGGTGCCAGGGACATGCCCGGTGCCAGCACAGCCCCGCTCCCCACCCTGCAGAAGCATTGCAAAGCACAGGGCTGGGCAAGACCAGAAACACCGAAACCACACAAATAAAAGTTAGGAATATTTATTACATATCAAAAAAGCCACGTTTTGGGCAGACACCCCGCCCCGGGCCATCGCGCGGTCCCGCTCTGCGGCCAGCAGCTGCCCCCCTCTGTCGCCAGGCTCAGCCTGGTCCCCGTTGCTCCTCTTCACGCCTTGGCCCGCTCGGCTCCCTCCTCAGTGCTGCCAGCAGGCTGTGCCACCGCCGGCCCCATCTGGATGGGCACATTCCTCTCGGGAGCGGCCGGCAGTGCCAGCTTGGGGGCCTCGATGCGGAGCTGCCCATCCTTGGACAGGGAGCAGGTCAGCGCTTCGGCGTCCACCTCCTCGGGCACGTCCCACTCCCGCTTCAGCACCTCGTACTTGTAGGAGAAGGAGCCCTTCTCGTCCGTGCTCTGCGTCTCCTTCTGCCCCACCAGCACCACCTTCCTGCCCACCACCTTCACCGACAGCTCCTCGGGCGCAAAGTCCTTCACGTCCTGGCAGACGGAGAAGCCGTCCCCAGAGCCCTGGGTCAGGGCTGCGCTGGTGCTGGGGGCGATGCCGAGCCGCCCGGGGCTGCTCCCGCCGCTCAGGTACTGCTCCACGCTGCTCATGAACTCCCGAGCCCTCTCCATCTCCAGCCGCATCTCCCGCTCCAGCTCGGCGAACAGGGTGCCTGGATGTGGCCAGAGGGTGCGGACGGGTCCCAGCCACGGGAACAGCGAGCTGGACATGGGCGGCATGAAGTGCAGGCGGCAAAGCATCTCTGCTCCAAGGAGTGCTCCTGGCTGTGCTGCAGCTCTGGGCAGTGGCTGGAGCCGTGCTGGGCTGGGGCAGGGGAGCAGCGGATTTTATTCTCCCCTCCCCAGGGGTGTGTCCCTTCCAGAATGCTCTCTCCCCCCACGCAGTCTCCTGGAGCCATTGCCTATTTTTGAGAGGCTGATTATCCACCAGCCAAAATAGCAGCGCCTGTTTCTGGGGACAGCTCACATGCCACAAATAGGGAGCCGCAGTCAGTGCCGGGAGCTCAGGTTTCTGCAGAGCCATCGTGATGCAGCAGGGCCCATGGGGCCATGGCCGGGGGGCTACAGAGCCCTTCCCTGACCCCCCTGCTCAGGGCTCGGTGGAGGCAGGCTCCACTGTGCCAGGAGCTCATCACTCCTGCCAGTGCAGCAACTAGTCCCACCTCTAAAGCACATGTCCCATGTCATCTGCTGTCAGGCACTTCTTTCACTTTCTGGGACCCCTCTCCCTGTTGGCCACCCCCATCCTGTCCTGATCCCTCAGCACCCCACTGCACATCCCACCTGGGTGTGGGGCCACAAACTGACTCCTGGTCTCACCTGAGGGGACCTACCTGGGCACAGATGGGGGAAATGGAACACAGCGGAGGGAGGGGGAAGGCAGGGAGGAGACAAGCCCAGACTCACTCCACGCCTGGGAAACGCAAAGGGCACAGATTTTTGGCAAGGGTGGCTCAGGCATCCCGCTCGGAGGCTGAGGTGATGCTGCTAATTATAAGCCAGGAGAGCAAAGCCGTAAGAGTCAGGGCGAAGGTATGCCGGGCACGACGTCAGCCGTGCCTCTCCTCACGGGTGAGTAACAAGAATGAGCTGGAACGGGCTGGAAAGAGCTGAGCTTTTCTCCCGAGGGTGACGTAATGTGCGGGACAAGGCCACGCCTCCAGGGAACGGGTTTAAAAACCTCCGGACGGCAGCAGCCGGGCAGAACGCTTCCAGCCCACTGGAAAGGGGACAGAAGCAGCAGCAGCAGCCACAGCAGCAGCGATGCTTTGCCGGATGCACCTCGCACCATTCGCCTCCAGCTCCCTGGCCAGCCGGCTGGGCACAGTGAGGACCCTCTGGCCGCACGCAGAGACCATCTTCACCGAGCTGCAGCAGGAGATGGAGAAAGCTCGGGAGTTCATGAGCAGCTTCGAGCAGCTCCTGAGCAACCACGGAGCCATGGCCATGGAGCACAGCCCGAGCACCAGCATGACCCTGACCCAGGGCTCTGGGGACGGCTTCTCCGTCTGCCAGGACGTGAAGAACTTCACTCCCGAGGAGCTGTCGGTGAAGGTGGTGGGCAGGAAGGTGGTGCTGGTGGGGCAGAAGGAGACGCAGAATGTCGATGAGAAGGGCTCCTTCTCCTACAAGTACGAGGTGCTGAAGCGGGAGTGGGACGTGCCCGAGGAGGTGGACGCCGAAGCGCTGACCTGCTCCCTGTCCAAGGATGGGCAGCTCCGCATCGAGGCCCCCAAGCTGGCACTGCCGGCTGCTCCTGAGAGGAGTGTGCCCATCCAGGTCAGCTCTGCTGCCCCACAGACCGGACCAGCTGCTCAGGATGGAGCCACCAACAAAGCCCAGGTGTGAGAGGATGGGACCCGATGGCCACGGCAGGACCGGAGCAGACAGGAGCAAGTCTCGGGTTTAAGCCCAGACAAGCTTCATCAGCAATGATGTCAATTTTTTCACTAGACTGGAATGATTTTGTATCCAATAAAAATCCTTTTGCATTGAATCTTCTTTTGTGTTCTCTGGGTGTTGGCTGATGGGGAGGCTGCGCCCTGCTCTTGGTGCCAGAGGAATGGGACGCACAGAAAGGGAAGGACCTCTCTTGCTTGTCAGGGCAGCACAAAATGGGGTCAGACAGCAGACTCAGAGGGCTCTGTGATGGAGGGGATCTGGGAGCACTGTGCTGCTAAGGGAGGGAGGCAGGCAGGAAAGACAATCCCACTCACCTGTACAGGAGCAGCAGGGGTGCCCTCACCCTTTCCCCTCACACTGCTGCCAGCATCACCTCCAGCTCCACAGCCTCAGCCAATACCCATCCCCAAACAATAGGGAAAGAACCACACCAGGCTGCCTGGCTGGGTGTGGTGTGAGGCTGTTGTAGCCACACTTTCCCCTTCCCAGCTTGGCAAGGGGCTGTTGGAGTCCACCCTGAGCTGCCAGCAGCAGGGAGGGAAAAGCCCAACCCCGGGCGCAGTGCGTAACCACCACAAACAGCCACGCTCAGGCCCGGGCAGGCAGCAGCTGTGTGGGCAGGCAGCAGGTATGCAGGCAGCAACACCTGTTTGTGCTAAAGCCACCCTGAGATCAGACAGCCCATTGCCCAGACACACCAGGAATGCCAGCAGGCCCCCAGCCCCGCTACTGAGCCCCTGTTGTAAGCGGCAAGACCCTCTTTAGGGTATCACAGATGCCTTCACAGAGACCCCAAGTCTAGGAAGAAACCCGGCACCAAGGAAGAGGAGCCAGCAGATGGCAACAGCACTGCACACAGTGTCCACTGAATTGCGCTGAGTGGGATCAGGGAAGCTCTTCTCCAAACTGGTCTCTCTCTGGCTGCCTGGGAAAACCAGCAGCATCAGTCCACCCCACGCAGTAAGCAGTGGGTGGTCCCACAGAGCACCTCAGCAGTCCAGGCACCAACAGCACCCCACAAATGAGGTGTAGTGGGGGCCACCAAAGCCCACACCCCACAGGCAGCCCAGGCTCCAGCATGATCCCAGGCACTCCATCACCAAATCACTCCAGACCCTTCCTGCTTCCAGGATTTTAAGGAAATCCAGCATGAGGAAGAGGCACTGAGACCTTGGATAGCAGATGAAGGGCACACAAGCCAAGGCTGTTCACACCACTCTACTCACAGGCTCTGTGCCCGAGCCTCTCGCAGCCCCCCAGCTGAGGGGGGCAATGGGTTCCAAATGCAGCACATCTCCATCCCCAGCCTCTCCTGAGCACAAATGGTGCTGCTGGCAGCACAGGTGGCAGGGATGGAGCTGCAAGGGTCTGCCTCTTCTTCCATACTGATTCCAGGTCCCAGGGTGTTGGGGTCTCATAGTCCATGCAGCAGTGACAGGAGAGCAGCATCTTCCAAGGCCATCGTGCTCCAGGGACAGAGACACCGTGTTCATGAATTCTGGAGCACCATCCCAAGCCTGTCCCACTGCAGAGCAGAGCTCCTCCACACACTGTTCCCCCACCTCTTCCCATCTTGCATTGTAGTTTCCCCAGAAGCACCAAGCAAGCAATAATTCCCACAATTTCCCTCAAGCTTCCTTGAGCACACTGGAGCCAAGTGAACACGAGCAGCATCACTGTGTGCAGGAGCAGCCACACAGCCCAAGCTCAGGAGCCCCATTTCTCCCTCCTCAGGAAGGAAGGGCCCCATTTCCCTACCAAGGTGTGGGACATACCAGGAGCAGCCCAGCACAGCTCAGCTTCCACCAAGAACTGTTGTGCTCAGGTCCAGTCCCTGCTGCATTAAGAAACATGAACATTGTTGTTATGATAGGTTTATAAAAATTTTGTTTTAATCACACAAAACTGAAGTTTGTGATGAAGACTAAGTCAACAAGTTCCTCTTAAATACCAGGATGCATAAGACACTGCATTAGGCACTAGGCAGCAGCCAACATCAGTTAGAGTCTGGCAACAGAAGCCATTTAATACCTCCCTTCATTCTTTGTGGAATTACAGGCTTTTGCAATACATGTCATTTCCACCAACAGGTTACCCAAGGTTTCCCCCACCCCACCTCTGTACATCAGTAAACCTTGTGTATTCCCACCAGAGCAGGGTTAACAATATTAGTGGCATCACAACCATCAAGAAAAGGACAAATTTCTATACAAGATTTTTTGCAAAAGTTGCAACAGGATTAGTGCATTACGACAGAACCGAGAGAAAAGAAGAGTTGGCATGCTGGAGTCCAACACAAAGAAAGACAACAGGCAGCTCGTTGGATGTACTATATTGACAAGATACTGATTGGTTACATGGAGAAACATACAATACAAAATACAGAAGAAACCAGTTTTGCTTCCCTCTGCCCCACCCCAAATACTCATCATTGATTTGGTCAATAAGTGGCCCAAGAGCCGGAGTTTGTCTCTAATGCTACAGAGTTTAGTGGTTGTTCTGGGCGCATCGTAGGGGATCAGCCTCAGCTCTTACAGACAGGGAACTTTAAACACGTGTCCCAATATCCCTTTGTTTCCCATAGTGAACTACAGTGCTGTGGGACCTGGCTGCTGCTGGCCTCACCTGCGGGACGGCCACGCTGGCTGGGCAGACACCAGGTCCTGCATCCACCACCACCAGGAAGAGGGAAGAGCAGAAGTTCATATATTAAAAAAGTGACTTAAGACTTAGAATTGAATTAGTATTTGTACAGAAAGGTGCAGGTGGAAGAACTCCCTCCAGCCTATGATCAGAAAGGGATGGAGAATCACAGCGGCGCCGGCAGCAGCCGCCCTACGGTAAGTGCGATCGTTAGCGTGGGTTCCAGTCACTCCTCCACGGGCTCGCAGGCTGCAGCAGCTGCTCAGTTGCTGCAGCACTGGCTTCTGCTCGGCTGGCTGCTCTCCTGAAGGTCCACCACCCGATTCCTGCCCGGGCCACCAGGAGCGTTCTGGGGTTCATTTTTTGGCAGTTTCTTGGCTAGGAAGAAATGGGATGTTAGCAGGGTCCTCCAGAGAGATCAACCTCCTTGCACTGTGTGCCCCAGGCTGGGTGCAGCCTGCTCCAGCCTGAGCCCTCACTGCCAACAGTTTGGGACAGGACAAACGTGCAGTTTGCACTGCGTGCCAAACCACCCCTTCCTTGGCTCTGCCTGCCTGCTCCCATCTCCATCACCACCCCAGACACAGGGAACCTTTGCAAGGCTAAGGCTCCACACGCTCAGGGAATGACCAATCACACCAGTGTGGCAAAGTGCCCCAGTAAGAGCCAGCAGCCCTGGCTGACACAGGACCCTCCTGGGCTGCAGTGCTGGCACTCAGAGCTACCCCAGCCCTACACACAGGCCGTACCTATTGCCATGAAGATTTCATTCACATTCATCGCTGTCTTCGCTGACGTCTCCATGAACAGCAAGCTGTTGTCATCTGCATATGTCTGTGCATCCTACAAACAATCACATCAGAGTGCTAAAGGCAGCCTGGCAGGAGGCCCAAGCAGATTTCATGCACTACACTTGTCAACACACTAACTGCTGGAGAAACACTATGTCCCACCCTGGACCAGAAATTCCCTCCCCTGTCCCTGCTCCCAGCTGGCCTGGATAAGCCAGGGACATGCTCCACCAGCAGCTCTGCATTGCCAGTGTCCCGCAGCTAGGCTGGGGCACAGCCTGACTGAGCCACACAGCACCTGGGAGTGTGTCACCCATTGCAAGGGCACCACAAGCAACCCTGTGCAAGGGCTGGGTAAGAGCCTCTCCTGAGCACTTGCCTCAGATGAGGTAAGAGCTGTGAAGAGCAGAGAACAAGCTAGGAATGATTCCTCATGTGTCTTGTACCCACAAGATGCTGTTTCACACCCTGTAGATATCCCCTCATGAGTAAGGCAGCAAAGGAGGCTGAGGACAGAAGCTTGTGCTCTGTGGGCCTCCTCCTCCTCATTCATCAGGACTTTCATCAGCCAAGGGCCACATGTGTTGTGACAGAATCAAGGGCACAGACCCTGCTCAGTGGCATCCTGCAGTCCTCAGCACAAAACTTCACTTTCATTCTCCCTCAAAGCATATTTTACATAGCTGCCACCTCCCTCACTTAAGCAAAAAGATGCTTTCCTGACCTGCTAGGGTAACAACTTCTCTGGATTCCCACTCACCTGGAAGTCCACAGCTCTCTTGTTAGCAAGGTCTGCCTTGTTTCCTGCTAGTGCAATTACAATATTGGGGCTAGCCTGCCTCTGCAACTCTTTCACCCAGTTCTTGGCTCGTACAAATGTGTCCTGGAAGCAAACAGGAGGCAGCAGTCAGGAAGGGCAGCCATGTAGGAATCCACAGGGCAGATATGATTAGAACAAGGCTTTCCTGTGAGAAGTGTCCTGCCTCTGCAGCACTTGGCAGCAGGATCCTTTATCAGCTCACAGCCTTGGCCGGAGCGGAGGAAGAGGCCTTGAGCAGTTTTCAAGAACTTGGCAGCCCCAGCCAGGTACCTGCAGGGCTGTGACCCAGACCCACCCCCAGGGAGCCTCCTGGCAGCCCCCCAGCCCTGCTCACACTCACTGTGTTGGTGATGTCGTAGACCACGATGGCAGCCTGGGCCCCCCGGTAGTACATGGGGGCCAGGCTGTGGTATCGCTCCTGCCCCGCCGTGTCCCAGATCTCAAACTTCACCGTTGTGTCATCCAGACACACTGTCTGTGTTAGGAAGGCAGCTGCAAGAGAAGGGGGTTTGCCTCAGCTCCAGCAGGATAGGGCCCAGAGCCAGCCCAGGAGCTCAGAGCAGCTCTGCTGGCACATGGAAGTGAGCTGAGCCCTGGAGAGGCCAGTGCCACTCTGCTGTGTCACATCCCCTGTTCACAGGAACCCAGAACCACCACACAGTGACAGGAAGGTGGCCCAGAGAGCCCAAGAGCATCCACAGTGCCAGACCTTCCAGCAGCCTTGCCAGGATCACACAGCCTGTGGCAACACCAAGATCAGACCTGGGGAGCACCAACAACAGCACCAAACTCAGCCCACTTACACCCCACACCCCAGTTTAGTAACTGCTTGTTATCCCAGTGAGTCTAACACCATGTGTTACACACAGCACAGAGGCACAGATACAGACTGAGGCAGAGCACAGCCCTCCACAGAGGGGCATTAGGCCCTGCTTGCCAGTAAGCCACACTTTCAGCTGTGCTCACTCCCTGCACAAGTCACAGAGTGACAACTCAAGCCTTTCCTCAGGACAGCCCCCAGTATTGCTGCTCAGAGACCCACGTGCTAACCAGCCTTTGGTTGATTGGTGACACTGTGCTAATGATTTCAAGCTAATAAACTACTAGACCTGAAAGCACCATGAAAGTAGTTAACAGACTCAGGCTAGAAACAGCCCCAAAACCCCAGGTCAGGGTCTGAAAAGATAATTAAGGGCTATAAACCAAGCTGAAGGCCTCAGTTCCAATTAGAAGCTGGAGCTGAGACACTGGAAACAAAGCCTCAGAGGCCAAGTGTGGGGTTGCCATAGCGTTATTCTCTGCTGTGCTGATCATTACACCAACAAAGTAATTGTGAACCAAGAGTTAAAGCATTAACTGTTGGGCTCTATTTATAGCAAAAATCCCAGACCAGACCAAAATAGCCAGTCTTGCTTCTGACACCCCAGACTGCCCCAGCAAGGTCAGCACCTCGTGGCCACAGGCATCTGGAGCTGGCACTCACCTCCAATTGTGCTCTCCTGGTACTCGTGGAACTGCCCCTTCACGAAGCGCAGGACCAGGCTGGACTTCCCCACCGCTGACTCGCCCAAGAGAACAAGTTTGAACTGGCAGATTTTGTTCCCAGCAGCTGGTCCATTCGGTCGGGCAGCTCCACCTCGACCTGCCATCGTGGTCTAGGTGCAGGAGTGCCGAGAGTTAAGGATGCTGCAGGTTCTGCACTGGGATCCACCTGTAGGCAGGTTGCAACTGGAAGAGGAGGTCAGAGTTAGTGACACGCTCAAGGGACCAGCTGTACCAGTTCTAGAGGGTGGTTTGATCTGCAGCCACCATCAGCACAGACTGGTGGTGGTTCCTTCCCACACTGCAAAGTTATCAGCTGTGAGCACCACAGAGCAGTTCCAGCCTGGCAGCAGCCCCTGCAGCAGGATCTCAGTCTGCAGAGCCTCCCTGGAAAAGAGGTGATGGTAATACGAGCTCTCCTCCCCACCAGTGGGCCCTCCAGCACTTCCACCCTGTATGGATGTTGCACACACCTTGCTGGGGTGAGGCAGGTAAGGAGCACCCAGCACACAGTGGGTGTTACTAGAGCTTTGTCTGTTCAAACAACAATTACTCAGTTCACAGAGGTAACAGAGCTTGACCTTTAGCTCCCTCCTCCTTTCCCGAGTTCACAAGGAAGGGATTTCAGCCTGTCAATGCTGTACAGAGCCATCCCAGTGCCACAGTGACAGGAGGCAGCTCTGCAGGTCACGAGGCATTTGGACAAAAGGAATTTCTAGAGCTGTCTGTTTGTCCTGAGGCACTTACACCACAACACTCTGCACCTCCCAGAGGGCCCAAGGATGGCCCTGGAGCCAGGCAGCCAGTCTGCTACAGGGGGGCACCCGAGGAGGTGCCCACCTCAGAAAGGCACCTGACAGCAGCTGCTCTCTGGGCACAGGCCGTCCCCAGCTCCCCTTCCCATTCCTGCTGCACACCAGGAATCACCACCCAACCTGGTCCAGAGGCAGCACCTAATGCTTCCCACACCCACCCCGCTGCCTCAGCACCCTTATCCCACAGCACTCCAGGTCACCAGGCCACTGGCCATGCTCCTCACATGGACTGTTCAAAGGCAGCATGAACAGTCAGCATCCCCTGGGATCACCACTCCCCAGCTCCAACCTCCCGAGTGCTGCAGAAGCACAAAACCATGGCAGCAACAGCAGGACAAGCTGATTTGCATCCAGAGTTAGCCACAAGTGAATCCCAGGGCCTCCCTAAGCACTAAGCTCTTCTGCCTGCAGAGAACAGGAATGCTTTCCAAGTACACAGTTACAGATTTAGGCACATTTCCTGTACCCTTCACAACTCCCACTTCCCTGTGGATGATAAATGCTACAGCTGATTGCATCTGCTGTGGATCACCACTTTCCCTTCTACTTGCCTAAAGCAGGCTGTTTGTTGAAAGAAAATGCCCCAAAAGCCAATTTCTCCTCATCCTGAGAGTACCCCAAAGAAACTCTGTGTACATCCTGCATTTTCCCAGCAATTAGATACCAATGAATAAGAAGTTTAAAACAGGTCAAACTGGAGCAGTGTCCTGTGAACAAAGCTCAAGCCTCCTCAGCACAGAGTTTCAAACAGCTGCTTTCCAGGGCAAGGCCTGTCCATCTGTGACTGCTTGAGGTTACTTGAACTATGCCTCAAGTTTAAACAATCCCATAGCTTGACAGGGAACCTCCAGCCATTTCAGAGCTACTCTGGAGCCTGTGAGTACCAGCAGCTGGAGAACCCAGCAGCTTACACAACACAAAGCACTTGAGCATACATTGACCTAGAGACATCCCACCTCAAATTGCTCTGAGCAGGAGGCAGTCAGACACCAGCTGTTAAGCTGGTACCAGTCACCAGAGCTGGCAGGTAAGACAGAAACAGAGGAGTAAAACTTCTGAGTGCTGTGGGATGTTTCAGGAGCCAGAGCTGTGAAGTTATTGCTCTGAGTCCCAGCCTTGGGTTAAGCAGTGAAGATATTGTAATTCAGAGCTGAGTCCTTGCAAGTAGCACAGTCAGGACTCCCCTCCCTCTACAGAGGAAGGGCAAACACTGTTTGACAGGATGAGAAAGCTTGATATGAAACAGACCAACAAGTGGCTTTGCTGGACAGTGAGGGTGCACTGCTTGCTGTGGCCAGGAGCAGCTTGGTCACCACCAGGTTCGAGAGGCTCAGCAGCAGCTCTGCATCTCTACCAACCTGAAGAGCCTTCCACCTTTCAGTGCTTCCCCTCTAAACAGAGCTTGCAAGGGAGCAGCTTGGGTTTAACCTTGTATTTATAACTCCCTGGGCAGTCTATCAGCTCCACTGCTGCTCCAGACCAACATTCTGCACAAACACTGTGTGAAGCACAGCGTGCCTGAGTTATGGCCTCCCGAAATCTGATAGTGGTCATTCCCAGAGCAAAACAAGGAAATGAGCTTGTTGACATCCTCAAGCCTTAGCCTGACCTATATTTCACAGATCTTGATGCATTTTGCCATCTGCTTGTGCTACATGAGCTCCAACAGAATTAGGTGAGCACATCTATGTTGAGCTCACTGTGGACAGCCACTGGTCAGTGCAGGCAGGGCAGCAGCCAGAGCTGCTCCAGTTGTGGAGAACCAGATCATCATCTAAGGGTGGTCTGATGCTTGGATACAAGATTACATGGCTTCATGTTCACACGAGGAGTTGCCATATCTTTCAGGTGTTTGATTGGAATTTAGAGACCCCGACTGGTCACTGGTGGCCTTGGGCTTAGGACACAGCCAAGACCTGGATGCCCAGCTGATGGTCACAGGAGGAAGCAAATAACCAAAGGAAGTGCCACCAATGCTGCAGACACACTCCCTGGCAGGACAGGCACTTTCTGCCAATGCCAAGATGTTTGAGGATTGCAGTCAGGCAGAACTGAGCTCTGCAGAGGCAACAGGGAGCTGAACCACACAGCCTGAAGCTGTGCTAGATCAGCCTCCACCCACCAGTGGACACTGAGCTGAGGAACAGGGACTGCTTCCTGCTCTGTGGAGCCATTTCTGGTGCTTGGGGAGCTGCTCATCCTCACACCTCTTCCAGCAGAGGGTTGGGCATTCACCCCTCCCTGCTCCCCACGAGAACCCCAGCACTGACACTCGAGCCAGGGTCAGGCAGACCAAAATAACCACAGCAGTGCCACACAGACAAGGGAAAGCAGCTGAAGTCCCAGCTTGTCTTGCTAATTCAAGCTGTCAGGGCCATGAAAAGGAAGGGCATGGTGGGGTACTCATGTAATCAAGACTAACAGACATTAATTTTTCTACTAGTTTCTTTTAACTAGTGAAACCCAGCAGTTGGGAGATCACAAGAGCCATGAGAAGGCCCGTGCTGGTTTGTTTACCTGCCCTACCCACCTCCTGCTCACTGAAGCACACACAGGACTTCTGCATCCCACAGCAAAAGCACTGATTTTTATTTCTTGTTTGCTTTGAGATCAAAGTCAAGTACCAATTCCTGATGCTGTCCCACAAGTAAGAGCTCCAGGTCTATCACTTCTGCAGTTTGTGCTCCTCCAACCCCTCCTCTGCCTACCAGGGTTTGCTGGAGGGGGCTGTACACAGCCAGGAATATTAAATTCAAGAATCTGAGCACCCTAAATGAGAAAGCACATGCCATGGCTGCTACATTCCCTGCCTGCCCAAGTGCAAGACCATTCTCCATAACTCTCAGGATGCTGGGGAATAGCACCAGAGCCCTTTTCAAACAAACCTCCCCAGGACAAGAACACAAATCTCCACATGGGAATTACTGTCAGATCCCCATGTCAACCCCTGCAGGAGACCTCACCACAGGGAAGCTGCTCATTTAAGGTGTCAGAAGTTACAGAATCTGATATTTTTGCCCTGTGTTAAGCCAGTGGCAAAAACTACTCTGAAAGCTGAGGATATTTAGAAACCCAATCCTGAAGACTCTGGTTACCCAAACGACTGCTGCTGTTCTCAGCTATGCAAGGAGTTGCTTCACTGGGGATTTGTTGGCTCAGAACCAAAATACTCAAGACAAAAGCCCCAGTGAAGTATTTATCTCGTTAAATAGCTGACAGCGTTACATGAATTCCTTGGCAAAGGAAGTCCTGAAGTTACCCAGTGGTTTTGCTTCACCTCACACTGCACAGGCAGCTGGCCCAGGGCTGCAGAGTCAGCTTCAGGACATGGAGCCAGGAGCAAGCAGGACCAGCAGAAAGTGTGGGTCCCACCAGAGCCACACACAGACCACACCAGCCCAGGCTAGCACAGCACGGAATGTCAACTCAATATTCCAATTCATCAATATGATTAACCAGAAAAAACTTCCTGAGCCTGGTCAGGAAGGAGGAGGACCCCCGCCTCTTCCAGGAGGGTCCAGGCTGCAGAGAAAGGAGGAACAGACCCAGCTGTTACACAGGACAACCAAGAAACACTCAACCTACAGAGCTCAGTCCCAGATCCAACCAGGCTCATGCTTTACCTGCTGGCCTCGCTCCAAGATTGCACGAGTTTCATACTCAACCTTTCCACAGAGAATTCTCTGCCTTCTTACCTTCTCCCTCCCCACAGAATGAGCCCTCAGCGCTCTGATCAGCAAGGACACAGTCTGGAGCTCAGGAACTGCTCTGAACTGGGCCACTCTCCAGTTCAGCTGGCAGGAGCTGCACTACAGCCCTAAAGTACAGATTCACAGACCCAAATCAGCTCAGACAGCAGTTTCAGCAGCACTCCCAAGGCTGTGACTAACTCATGATAGTGTAACAATTTCTCTGTGCAGTCCCACATCCAAGACTCACAAAGATTTGGACATGCTCACCTTAAATTAGAGGTAAATAGGATTTCCATTCCAAAGTTGAACTCTTCATTCAGCTACAGACCTGAATTAGTACCATCTTCTCATGTTGTTGATACACACATCTGTTTCCTGACATTTGCACACCCATGGCCTCTGGAGCAGCCCCAGCAGCCAGCTGTTTTCCAAAGCAGCTTTTCCAAAACAACTCTATCCCCAGAGATTTCAAGGCCACCACCCTGCTGTGACAATCCCTCCAGCACAGGCTTCTGTGGAAGAGTTTTACATCACCTCCATCTCCCATTAGCTGCAACTAGCTCCCTGTCCCACAGTGGCTCCCTCTTGGAGCCCTCACCTATTTCCAGTTATCCTCAGCACATCAAGGATGGAGGATCAACCCATGCATTCAGCCTGGACTGATTCAAACGGAACAAAAGCATCAAGGTTTTAATTCTTCAGCAAAGCTTGTTTAACTCCTGTTCAGATGCCCTCAACAGACACAGCTTCACTTTGACCAGACACTCAGCAACACATGCCTTGGATAGCACCCACTGTTCAGTCAGCAAGAAGGCAACATCAGCAATGCAAAGCAGCAAACTGCCACCTGCACTGCAAGGAATCTGTGACCTTCAGAATATCTTTCCCAGACTGCACAAAGATCTCCTGCCTCAAGCAGCTCCTTATTTGGAGTGCTACCAAACCAAAGCAAACATGAAAAACAGTGTTTTCTTATCTGTTTATGCAGAGCTGCTCCAGCAGCTCATTCCTGTGCTCCAGGGGAGGACAGCATTCCCCCCCAGACCTCAGATGAATTTTATACCTCCCCAGTACTGTCACATCCAGGAAGGTTTCCTGTTTCTGGCCAGTGTGTAAGTGTTTTCAGTGTTATTCTGACAACTTCTCAGGACTTGCATAAGAGGCTGCAAACTTCATACCCCAAGGGAAGAAAACAGCTGACTCCAACATTTCCACATTCTATCCTCTTTTAAGTCTGCTGACAGGAATACTCTGGGCTACACCCACTTCATTAGAAGCGTTCCCATTTCATTTCCTGTGTCTGAAAGCACTCGGCATTCCTTCCCCCTCCCTCTTAGGGAGATGCCATGACCACCATCCAGAACTGTGCAGGAGCTGAAGAAGTTTGGATGCAGAGCTGATGACTGGCAGGGCCTAGAGCAAGCCTGGATCCCTGCTGAGATGCAGAAGGGCTTTGCTGGGATGGAGATAATCCCACATCTCAGCACAACAGTTTGGCCAAGCACACACACATCACCAGACAGCTCCTTTACCCACTGCCCAACTGTCCAAGTGGCTGGGAAATCTAAGAATTGGTGAAATCTCAAACTGGGAAACCAAAACCACTACACCAACTCATCAATGGTTTCACAGGAAAGCAAAGTGTACTCTACTAATGCCAAACTAGATAAATGTTTTATCTTACTATGTTCATATCCACATGCCAAGCCAGCCTTTCCCTCCTGCTCTCCAGTAACTCAAACCCTCTCCAGGAGTCCATTTCACCTTGCCTGGGATGTCTCAGCACCCACTTACAGAGCCTACAGTGACCCCTCACTGCCTGGACAGCCTGAAATCAAGTGTCAGCTAAACCAGCCAGAGCATCTTAGCAGAGAAGGTCACCCCAGAAGCAGATTTTTGGTCTGAAGGTATTAACTGCTCCAGCAAACTACTGTGACTCACAAGGGGTCTGAGGTGATTTCAACACTGAGACCCAGCTATGACCCCAAACATTCCTGTCCTTGACCTCCCAGATCCAGCCAGGCTCGCTTGCCTCACTCCAAGAATGCATCAACATTGTCCTGTAGCTGCCTACAGCCACTATCCTGCATTCTTAACTCTTTTCAGACATAATTCTTTCACCTTATTATCCAGGTGAGCTGAAAAGAAATGTAAAAGACTTTCAGAGTCAAGGCAGCAGTGGGTATCAGTGGGTATTTGCAGGAAGCTCCCCCAGACTGCGTGGCATGCCAAGACAATGGACTGAGGTGGCTTTTTTGGCCCCAGCAAGGCTCAGAGGTGGCTCAGGAGCCCCTGCAGAGCACAGGCCCAATGTGAGGCTGTAAACAGGGCAGCCCAAGTGAGCTGACCCTCCACACAAAAAGCTAAGAATAGCAGATGCAAGTTGTTCCACACCAGACTTAAAATAGTCCCTCGACATGTTCTCCTCTCCAGCTTTCCTCCAGCACTGAAAACAGCCAAGGTCAGAGCTCCAGCAGCACAACTGAGGGCAGCAGGGCAGGGGTCAGAGCTGGCCTGGGCTCCCTGCAGGTCCCAGCACCACTCCCAGCTCCTGCCCAGCCCCAGGAGCATCACCAGGAATAAGGTGTGAGCAGTTTCCCCAGGATTTAGCAGGGCAAACCTGTTGCTCACGCTCACAGCTGCACTCCCGGTGCAATCCCACCCCCAGCTCACACACCAGGGTCTGTCCTGCTGTGACAGAGATAAGGACAGCCTCGCTCGAGATCCCCTTACAGACAAGCCACAAAATGTCCTTGCAGCCCCAGGGCCCTCCAGCCCCGTGGGTTTCCCTTCACAAGGGCCCTCGAGGGGCACAGGGCTGTGCTTGGCAGCAGCAGTGGCCCAGGCCAGGCTGCCCTGGAGCCCGTTTGCAGCAAACCAGTTCACTTCCCTCACTCCAGCAGCTCCCGGGACCCCAGCTGGGCCTCCCAGCTCCTGGAGCTTCCATTCCCCGCTCAGCGGCTGAGCGGCTATTACAAAACACGATCCCACCACGAAAACCCCTTCCCCAGCCCCACTGAACTCCACTCAGCCGCGGCTGGGACAGACGGCAACCGGGGCACAGCTCCCGGACAACCCCACGGTACCGGCTGCTCCTTCCCGCTGGCCCGGGAGGAGCCCGACCCGAGCACCCACAGCGCCGCCGGGCCGCCTGCCCCGAGCCGGGCACCGTGCCCCGGGCTCGTCTCCCGGTACCGCAGGCCGGAGCCGCCGCTGCCCCGCCTCGCACGGCACGCAGGGCCCCGCTAGGCCGGCACACGGCGGGGGTACCGGGCCGCACACAGCCCCCGCCCCGCCGGCGGCAGCGCCCGTCAGCCCCAGCGCCGCCCCGCCCGGCACGGCGGCGCCACCGAGCCCCCGCTCCGCTCCCGCCACGGGGCCCCGCAAGCGGCGCGGCCCGGCTGCCGCCCTCGGCAGAGCGAGATCCCGGGGAACGGCTCCACCCCCTCGGGCCGGGCTCGGCCACCTCGGCGCCAAAGGCGCGGACGCGGCCGCACTCACCGCCCGCAGCGCCGCTCCCGCCGGTGCGTCTCGCAGGCCCCGGCCCTCACTTCCGCCTTTACCCGTTCCGCTTCCGGACCCCACCACCCCTTCCGCCCCCCGCTCTCCGGCCACAGGCAGACGCAGCTGCCAATCACCCCCCTCCTGCCCCGCCCCCGCCCCGCCCCGGTGAGCTCTGCGTGACGTCATGGCGCTCCCGCGGGGACTGCTGGGAGTTGTAGTCCGGGGGAGTCCCGGTGCGACCGGCCCCGTGAGGGACTCGGGCGTGGCGCGGCGGACGGAGAATCAGCGGAGCCGGGGCTGGAAAAATAGAGCCTTTATTTCTCGGTGTTGCGGGGAGCGTGGGAGAGGCGGGGCGGAACAACACGAACTACAGCCGCGGAGGGGCGGCAGCGCCCGTGACCCCCGGGCAAACCGGAGACATCACCGGAGATCCCTACGCTGCCCCGCCACGTCCCACCGCCCCGGGAGACCCGGGCGGGGCTGTAGAAAAGGCCCCGTGGGCCAAGAGTATAAAACCGTATCAAAATCCCTGCGCGTGTTCGGAGTGCGGGTCCCGGGACCCCCGGGGAGGGTCCCGCGGCGGAGAGCCCCGGTGCGGCTCCCGCCGGTGCGGCTCCCGCCGGTGCCCGCGGGGTCACTGGGAGCTGGTGGAGCCGGATCGCGGCTGCGGGCGGGCGCGGCACCAAGCCCCGACAGAGCAGCCGGGGAAGGAACGGGCGGAGCGGGGCGGCAGCGGCGGCGGCTGCGAGTCCGAGCCCCGGCGGGGGTCGGCACCGGGAGCGGGGCTGTCCCCCCGCAGCGGGCGCGGCCCCTCGGCGCCCAGCCAGGGGTGCGTGGCGGCGGCGTGGGCAGAGCGGCTGCGGACCGGGCAGCGTTTGGCCCGGGGGCTGTCGCTGGGGGAGCTGAGGGAGCTGGGGGGCACCGGGGGCGAGGGGCGCGCCGGGGCAGCGGGCGGCGAGACGGCGGCGGGCAGACGGCAGGGACAGGCGGGGGAGTGCGGGGTGCCCAGGTGAGCCTTGAGCAGCTCCATCATGCCCTGCAGCTCCCGGCTGAGGTGAGAAACCTCCCGGTTGAGGTGGTTGATCTGGAGGAGGACAGACAGCAGTGAGCGCCCGCCGGTGTCTCCGGGGGTTTTGGGGACGTGCACCCACCTCTGCTCCCCACCGCACCTCCTGGTTGAGCCTGCCGATGTTCTGCTTTATCTGCTCTGCCTCCACCACCAGGGCTGGGCTGCCGGGGTCAGTCCCTGCTGGGGGGGAGGCAGACAGCGGTGGGACGCCGTGCCAAGCCCCAGGGCTGGCACTGTGCCCTGCCCGGCGCTGCTGGCACTACCTGCGCCGGGGGAGTCCCTCGCAGCGCCCGGCGGCGGCTCCGTGCTGAAGCAGAAGCTCTGTGCCTCCGAAGTCCCTCCGTTGTCTTCAATGCCATCCACCACTCTAGAGCAGGAGGAGGTGAGGTTTGCCCCGAGCAGGAGGGGTGAGGCTCGGGGGGAAACTGGGTACCAGGGAGATGCTCCAGAGGAGATCCAAGCCTCTCTCAGCAGAGCTGGGAGAGGTGAAGTGCAGCAGATCCATTTCTGCAGCAGAACATCCCCCCCAGATGCTGGAGCCATCAACGTGACTAAACCCAGCTGCATGTTGCACTCCAGGAGGTTTTGCCCTGGCTGTCTGTCCTGCAGTACCCTCCCCCAGTTCTCTCCAACCCCATTTCCTGGCCTTCTGTCTACCTCATCCTCCTGTACTGCAAAGGCTCTCTCTGCCAATTCCCCGGGTTGCACAGAGCCAGGCCAGGACATACCTGCGTGCCAGCGTGGCAGAGCTGCAGCCCCTGCCCCAGCCTTGGGGACTGAGAGCACAGACTCCCCTTCCAGGGCCGTGCACAGCCCCAGCCCCAGGGCTGTGAGCACAGGAAGGGGCCTGAGCAGCAGGACACGCACCCACCTCCATCTCGCTGCCCTCCCGCAGGTTGAAGGTCAGGTCCTGGTGGATGTCAGCTGTGAACTTGCTGGCGTACTCTGGGTAGAGCTGCAGCACTTCACAGAGCCCCCGCAGGCCGATGTGCTGCAGGTCACAGTAGGTCAGAGCCTTCACGTCCGCGTTGGTCTTGATCACCTGGTCCGTTCTGCACAGGTCGGCTCCAATCAAATCCCCTTTGCCTGCAGGAGGGGTGGGCTAGTGACACGAGCCCCTCACCCTGCCGGGCAGCAGGAAGGGCTGGGGCAGAGCCCACGCCACCTGCCCTCACCCAGGATGGCCAGGACCACGTTGTCCTTCAGCACCTCGAGGGAGCCGGAGCACACGAAGTAGTTGGCCTGCAAGGCGTCGCCCTGGCGCAGCAGATACTCCCCCGGGGCACAGAACGAGGTCTTGATGTGGAGCGAGAGGGAGCGCAGGCAGCCCCGGCTGGCCGTCTCGAAGATGGGCAGCTGCAGGATGTCCTTGTTCAGGTGCATGGCCACGTCCGCACGCAGCTCGTCGGGGAAGTCGTGCAGCAGCTGGGGACAGAGGAGCCGGGGCTCTGGGCACGAGGGGCAGGGAGCAGCTTTCCTGCGGGGAATCTCGCTGCTGAGCTGCCCTGGTGTCTCAGCACTCCCGAGGGGCAGAGGCAGGCACTGCGGTAATCAGATGCTAATCTGCTAATCTGCTCCCTATGCCTGTCCCGCTCCCCGTGCTGTCAGAATTTGCTCCTCCAGCACCACTCTGAGCTGGCCCTGCCATCCCCATTGCTCCCCACAGGTGCAGGCCGGGGCTGGAGGGGGCTGGCCGAGCCCCACCAACACCTCCTACCTCATTAACATCAATGCCGTTGTTCACCGACCAGGTGGTCTGGAAATACTCCAGCATCCTCTGCTTGAGCTGCTGGGGCAGGTGATGGACGCGGATGAAGTCCTTGAGGTCCTTCATGCGGGTGTGGTAGAGCGAGCGGCGCGAGTACATGCGCTGGATGATGGCCGTGACATTGCCGAACACAACGGCGTGCATCAGCGCTGGGGGCAGGAGGGCAGCGTCAGCCCCGCGGGGACAGCGGGGACACGGCACGGGGCTGCTCCCCAAACCCCGCCCAAGGCTGCCTCACAGTCCTGCGAGAAACTGCTCACTTTGAAAATTTAAGAGGGTTTATTAAACCTTAATAAAAATACAACAAAGGACTAAGTTACTGCCCCGGATAAGGGACACGCACACTCATTCTTTTTTGCTTGTCCTAGACAACCCCGGGTGTCTGATGGTCACAATACAGGGGGAGGAAAAGGAACTATGGAGACAACAGAGGACACCTAAACTACAATACACAACTATACATCACTAAAGCTTTCCTTAATATTCACACAACAGTTGTCCTTTAATTGCAAGAGCCAATCATCTCATTATCCATCTATAAAAATCCCATCACCTCCGAGACATGAACTTTAAGGAATTTAGAGATTTTAAAGGAGCTAAGATTTTTAGTTAGGGATAAGCTTTATTGGAGTTAATTAAAATAAATGGGTAGGCCTTGATGAAGTTAAGACTTAGTAGTTAACTAATTAATAATCGATTGCTTGTCAACACAATGTTTGGCTAACTGGGTTTATAATGAAGAATATAGAAATTGATAAATAGCTTTAGGAACATAAGACAATTGTGGGCCTCCTCTGTTCTGAAACCTATTGAAGACAGGAATGAGAGTTTCACCAAGAGTTCATTTGTCATATTTGCATTGAAAAGGTAGAAAGGTCAGAATGAGGAAGACTTCATTTACTTCCTCATTTTGGGACCCCTCCCCATGAAAGGGACCACTGACCCATTTCAAGGAACAAACCATGCATGCTTAATAGCTTTTGAATTAATTAGCATACGAAGCGGGGAATGGGATGTACCAAAATTATGAATATGGATTTGTATTTTGGGTATCCAATAGTTGTATGGATAAAAGGACTCTGTAGTCACCTGTAAATTGCAGCATGTATTTGGGAGCTATCCCACACAACACCACAATAAACACACACTTTCTAACTTTAAACTGTTAGAGAGTTTTTGTCCGTCGCAGTTGGATATCGGTACTAGATCAATATCCACATTTTTTAATAAATCACCTCCCCCAGCACCCTGCCTGGCAGCCCGAGGTGAGCACCCCGCCCAGCCCCGCTGCTCCCTCACCCCCGATGAGCATGGTGCAGATGGAGAAGATCTTCTCGGTGTCCGTGTTGGCGCAGACGTTGCCGAAGCCCACGCTGGTCAGGCTGCTGAGGGTGAAGTAGAGGGAGGCGATGTAGGCGCTGCGGATGGAGGGGCCCCCCACCGAATTGTTGATGTAGGGAGCCTCCAGCCTCTTGCCCAGCTCGTGCAGCCAGCCTGCCAAGCACAGCCCGGGGTTAGCACCTGCAGGAGCCAGCGGAGAGGGCTGCAGCCCTGGCTGTGCTCCCCGCAGCCCAGCGGGGATGCAGAGCCCCAGCACGCCTCCGGCCCGCGCTCACCGATGTCCCAGGTGCGGGGGTCGTTGCTCTCCAGCTCCTTGCGGCCGATGACGTACCAGATGCAGGCCATCCAGTGGGCCAGCAGGGCGAACATGGACATGAGCAGCGTGAGCACCATGGCGCTGTACTGCGAGTAGCGGTCCAGCTTCTGCAGCAGCCGCAGCAGCCGCAGCAGCCGCACCGTCTTCAGCAGGTGAACCAGCGAGGTCTGGGGGGCAGGCAGGAAGGTGAACCTGGTGCAGCTGCAGGAAGGGACAAGAAGGGACCCCAACACTGCCCCTGGGGCAGGAACCCTTTGTGACCCCCACAGCTGCCAGGAGGGTGATGGGTTACAGGGCAAGGCAGGGGCAGCTCATCCCCAATCAGCCTTGCAGCCCTGTGCCCAACTCCCAGCAGGCAGACAGGGTTGTGGCTTATCAGGGCACCTGTGGGTTGTCATGGTCCCCTGTCAGTATAGGAGATGTGGCTGTTGGAGAGGGGCAGGGAGGCGGGCAGCAGCTTTGCTGTTGAAGGCTGTGTTTGTGCCAGCAGCACTCACCACGGTCACGTTGAAGATGTAGAGCAGATCGAAGGGCAGAGCAGCAATCAGATCCACGAAGAACCAGGTGGCCACGTAATGGATGCAGATGGAGCGAGGGTCGTACACAACCTGGCCCGACTGGCTCACGTACGTTGTCCGGAAGTTCAGGATGATATCTACCCCAGGAGAGCAGGACCAGCCCTCAGCACCCCTGCTGTGGCTGGCAGAGCTGAGCCAGCTTCCACAGCCAACATTGGTGTCGCTTCTGGTGTGCCCAGGGGCACAACAATCCCAACTCCCCTCTCCATCACCCCTGATCCCTGCCCCACCATGTCCTGGATCCTGGATCAGTGCTGAGCTGTCGCCGTGATATTTCTATGAAAATCCCTTCACCCAGGATTTTTCTCCTGATAAGATGAGAAGCCTCAGAGGAAAAGAAAAACAGTAATTATCTGCTGCTGTGGAATGCAACAGGCGCATCTTTGATTGGTCCATGTTGGTTTTTTCTAATTAATGGCCAATCACAGTCAGCTGGCTCGGACTCTCTGAGTCATGAGCTTTTGTTATGATTCCATTCTTTTCCTTTCCAGCCTTCTGACAGATCCTTTCTTTCTATTCTTTTTAGTATAGTTTTAGTATAGCATTATAATATAATATCATATAATATGATATGATACTATATGATATTATATGATATAATACCATACCATATATCATATCACATCATAATATAATATAATAAATCAACCTTCTGAAACACAGAGTCAAGATTCTCATCTCTTCCCTCGCCCTGGGACCCTTGATCACAGCCATGCTGAGCCCCAGACCTACCCAGGATGAAGAGCATCTCTACGGCGATGTCGCTGACAATGGTGCTGCGGGCAGCTGACAGGCTGTCCTCCGTGCCCGTGAAGCAGACATTGTAGGGGACAGTGATAGCCACGTAGAAGGTGGCCAGCAGGATCAGCCAGTCCCAGAGAGCCTTGAAGATGCTGTAGTGGAGCAGGATGAAGCGGGACTTCTGTACCGAGGCCACCTTGTACTCGGGGATGGAGGGCTTGTTCTCAAACACGTTCTGCAGGGCAAACGTGGGGTGGGACGGGGGTGCTGCAGGGGCCATCCCACACGAGGGGTGAAGGCCACCACAGCCACCACTCCTCCTGAGTCCTGCCAGCCAGCTGGCACCCCCTGATGCCAGGGTGATGATGCCCTTTTCCTGCATTGTGGTCACCCTCAGGGATGGGCACAGAACCCCTGATTGCAGCACAGCAATTAATGCAATGCACACCAATTAATGCAATGTCATTGCTATTAACAGTAATCCCCTGGCAATGCCAACAGCTGCCTGGAACCATCTCAGGTGCCAAATCACATGGGGGGGCAGAGGAGGGGAGAGGTGAGGGCAGAGCCAGGGCCATCCCACCCAGATCCCCAAAATTCAAGACTGGTGCACTGATATCCTTTGCCTGCTCATCAGCTCTGGGACCCAGCAGCTCTCAGACCCTCCTTCTGCCCCCACAACTGCAGGGGGTGCCCTGTACTGGGCACAGCAGCTGTGCAAAGGGGCTGGCACAGGACTGTGCCCCATCTGGCAGCTCCACAGCTCTGGCACCCTGGTTACAGCTCTCCCCAGAGCCAGCGTGGCTGTGCTCAGAGCCAGCACTGGGGTTTCCTGACAGTGAGTGTATGAGGAGAGGCACAGCTCTGCCAGAGCTGCCAGGTCTGCTGTCTCAACAGCAAGCTCTGGGCACCCACTGGGTTCTCCTGCTGCCAACCAAACACAAGTGCAGCCTGGGTACAGCGTGGCTGCCAGAGCTGGGGGGCATTTCAGTACTTGGCAAGCCAGGGAGAGACGTGCATGGGAGCAGCATCCCAGTGAGGCTGGGCTCTGCTGGGGGCTGCTCTCGGGAGAGCTGCTGCACTGCCAGTTCACCACAGCCCCAGCGTGGAAGGCACTGGGCAAAACTGGGGCTCCCCCAGGTCCTTACACGGTTGATTTTCATCTCGCCACGGTCCCTCCGGACAAACTGGCTGCTGAGCTGGTGCAGCATGGTCCGGCCCTGCCTCCGTGCAGCCCTCAGGTGAGAGTTCCCAGGCTTCTTGCTCCTCTGCTTCTCACTCCTCTGCTTCTCTGCAGTGGACAGGGCACACTGAGTCAGTGGGAGTGCCGTGCCATGGGTGTACGTGTTCCCCACCAGGGAACAGGGAGCCCCTTTGCCACGTGCCCACTGCACACACTGCTCCCTGAGTCCCATCCCCGTTCCACAGCTCACCCTCCTTCTTGTCACCAGGGTGGCTCCTGCCTCGGCTCTCTGTGATGTCCTTGAAGGAGAAGAGGAAGAGCACCACCTCCCCCTTCTCATTCTTGATGGGCATGATGTCCAGCAGGCACCAGAAGGCAGCTCCTGGGTGCAGGAGAGAGTTGGTGAAGGCAGGGCAGCTCCCCCCCAGCCATGAGACCATGAGAGGGCAAACCCCAGCTGGAGCTGTGGCCAGCACCCAGCCCCTTGTGCCACTCACCACCCTTCTTGTAGAAGCAGACCTCAGCCTGGTACTCCTGCCTGCTGTCCAGCGCCTTCTCGATGCTCTGCAGGACGGGCTCGCTGGTGTCAGCCCCGCAGAGGAAGCGGCAGCTGCAGTTCTTCTGCATGACCTCGGTGCGGGCAAAGCCCGTGAGGTCGCAGAAGCCGTCGGAGCAGTAGACGATGGGGAAGCCACAGCGGCCCTGAGCGTTTGCCAGGATGAAGTTGCTGTCTGAAAGGAGACACAGCTGCCCCCGAGGCCTTGGGACCACCTCAGGAGGCACAAACAGCAGCCCAGCCTTGGGATCACCTCAGGGGGCACAAACAGCAGCCCAGACTTGGGACCACCTCAGAGGGCACAAACAGCAGCCCAGCCCTCCTGGCTCCCGATGTTTCCCTCTGGCAAGTGAAGCCAGATCTCCATGTGGCTGCTGGCTGCCCCTAGCTGCTCCCAGAGCTTGCTCATCTCCTGTCCTGCTGCTCCCAGCCCAGGCAGGACCCCAGCCCCATGCAGTGGAAGGGGAAGGAGCCCAGATCTGTCTCCCGCCCCCATCACCCACGCGAGGCAGCTCACGCCTCCCCCTCACCATCTGCCACTCTGCCAGGGCTCAGGGAGCTTAATGGGAGCAGCAGCTCCCGGCTGGGCGTGCCCAGCCCAGGGGTGCCCAGCTGTGGTGCTGAGATCCCCAGAGGTGTGGGTGCTGAGAAACCAGCTGAGAGGGTGGGAGAAAAACCATCAAGGGCCAGCACACAGCTGCCGTGGGCCAGGGATGAGCTGCAGCATCCTCGGCCTCTCAGCAGCACAGAGCCACCCCAGCATCACCCAGCCCTGGCGGTGGGAGGTGGCACAAGCCACAGCAAAGTCCTCGCCAGCCCTGTGCCCTGCCCAGTGACAGAAGAGCTGTTCAGCCCCCCAGCCCCAGCCCTGCCCCACGGCAGGATAGAGGGGCTCATGTTAGCAGGGTGCCAAGGAAACGGGTGTGCAGCTGGCACAGACTGTGGTGGAACCCAGCGTGGCCAGACCAGGGTGTTCCCAGCCCCAAAGCGGTCTCTGGTGTGGGTGCCCAGCACAGAACCCTTGCAGCACACAGCCAGGATCAGGTGGATGTGCTCTGCCCCCTCTCACAGAACAAAGGAGTCCATGGTGATGCCAGCACCCGCACACCACGGGCAGAGTGGTGCCAGGCAAGCACTGCAAGAGGCTGTGGGAGGGCAGGGAGGCAACCACAGGCAGCCCTGGCTGCTGGAGGTGCCGTGGGGCCACCACAGCACAGCTCAGCCCAGGATTAGCTCGGAGAAGCAAAAATAGCCTGAAGCTGTGACTAAGGCCAGATTTTGGCTCTGGGAAGCCGGGATTATGGTGATATCCAGGATGTGTTATTAGAACAGAAAACAAGGGTTTGCATTTGGGAGTGGCTCACTGAGCTGGAGGATGTGGCCCTGGCAGGCTGGCAGACCCCAGCCATGGTGGCCACTGTGCCCGGTTGGGTGCCCTGGGCACAGAGCAGCCTCTGCTCTGGGAGAGGCAGGGTTAACTCCCCACAGAGTATCACTGCCCTAAACCCCTCTCCATGGCAGATAAAGCCGATAAGAGGCACATCAAACCCGCAAAGCCCCACACTGTTTAAAAGTGCCCGGTGGAGGTGGTTGGGCAGGCTTGGACAGGGCACTGTAGGCAAAGCCAGGCTCTCCAGGGCAAATTCCCAAGGTTTTGGTCCTGGTGTTGCAGGCAGCTTCCCTGGGGATTCTTCCTTGGAGAGCCTGATCCAGGAGCTCTGCCCCTCTGGAGAAACAGTGGGATCACCATCATGAAACACATGTGGCTCTGCCCTGTCACCTCCAGGCACAGCTCAGTCAGAGTCAGAGAACAGAGATTTCTCACACATTGCAGCCCCAAGGGTAACATCCCAAATTTCAGCTTCTCTGTGCCTCCAGGGCTGCTCCGTGCCACTCCAGGCTCGGAGGCACCTCGCATCACAGCAAAGTGCTCCAAGTGCCTCGATAGTGCCCTGGGAGGTGGCTGCAGGCTCCCGGTGCCATCTCCATGCCAGTCACTCCCAGCAAGGGAGGAGATGCTCAGCCGTGAAGGCAGCTGGCCCGGGACACACCTGCTCCAGGTGTTTTTGAGGGGAAGCTGAGGTCAGTCGTGAACGCGGCCCGTCCCTGGGTGGCTTCATGGTGCCAGCAGAGCTGGAGCTGGCATGTGGCACCCGGGTACCACCCATCCCGAATTCATCCATCCCGGCCCTGGCATATGGACACGGAGAGCAGCTCAGCGCCCGGGGACACCGGCCCCACTCGGGCACGGAGGCCTGGGGATCCCGGGTCAGCCCGGGCGTGTGGACACCGACCGTGCCCTCCCCGAACCTCCCTCGCCCCTCCCGGGGCCCCGCGCCCTTCCCGCAGACACCGGGATCTGTCCCTGGTGCTGAGCGCGGCTCCGGCAGCGGGGAGAGCATCGCGGGGGCGACCCGGGACACGGGGAGTACCGGAGCACCGAGGCCAGGTACGGGACGGTCCCCGTACAGCGCCTGGCTGCCCGCACCGGCCGAGGCGCCGGCTCTGCGGGGCCGGGCGAGCCGTGTCCCGTTCGCCGTCTCCTACCGGACAGCGGCTTCCCCCACCCGGTTTCCCCCCACGGCCCCTCCCCGGTCCCGTCCCAGCCCTACGTGTGCCATCGAAGCGGGTGGCGATGGTGTCCAGGAAGGTGTTCTGCGGCGCCAGCAGCCCCTTCATCACCGGCATCGTCCCGCCCGACCGGCCGGCCGCGGCGGGGCTGCGGCGGCGGGGCTGCCTCCGCCGCCCCCGGCCCCTCCGCAGCACCGCAGGCTGATCCCGGCCCGCCCGGGGCTCCCGGCCCGCCCCCGCCCCGCCCCGGCACCGGGAGGGGCCTCGGCACCGTCGGGCACCGTCCCCCGCCCGCGGGTAGAGCGAGCTGGCCCGGGGGCGCTCTGGGTTGGTGGCGCCGGGAGCCGCCGTACCGGGAGGCACCGGGACCCCCCCGGCCGCGGGAGCCGCTCGCCACCGGCTCGCTCGGGAGCACGGGGGCTGCGGAAGGGGCGGGACGCGCCGCACCTCGGTTAACCTCTGTCCTGGCAGCGGGTCCCGCTCACGCCCCAGTGCAGCCGCCGAGGATGAGCCCGGTCCCAGCCCCGCGGAGGAAGGAACTCGCTCCGGCAGCTGCCCCCGCACCGAGCCCTCCCCAGAGACACAGCAGAGCCGGGTGACATCAGGCTACCATTTATTGTAAAAGGCCGCGGTGCCCGCGGTGCCCTGAGCAGGCTGGGCCAGGGCCAGGGCTGGGAGGAGGTATCTAAAAGTGCTATTTACACCGAGCTCCGGCTGCGTGTGCCCGGAGTCCATCCTGCCAGGGATCCTCTCCGTGTCCCGCTGCCCCCATCCCATTCAGTAAAAGCTCCTTGCAGCTCCCTGGGCCTGGCTCGTGCTCGGGTCCTTCCCTGAGTGTCCCTGGCACTCCCTGGGGCCGTCAGGGCTGGTGGCAGCACCTCGCGGCACCGCTGTCGGCTGGGCGACCGTGCCCGCAGGGCAGCCCAAGGCTTCCTGGCAGATGGTGCCCGAGTGCTGCCCGCGCTTGCCCATGGTGAGGATGCCCGCAGCGTGGTTGCCGGAGCCGTGGAGCAGGCGGTAGAGCCGGCTCTGGAAGGCCAGGGGGACGCTCTTCCTCTTGCCCAGTGTGAGGATGCCGGCGGCGTGGTTGCCCATGCCGTGCAGGAGGTCGTAGACGCGGCAGGAGCAGGTTTTCTGCCGGCAGCAGTGGGGCAGGCTCTGCCGGGCAGCAGCCAGGGAGCAGAAGAGCAGCAGGAGCAGGAGGCAGGCAGCTCGCCGGGGCTGCCGGAGCAACGGGCAGCGTTAGGGCAGAGACAGGGACTGCCCAACCCAGGACTGTCCCCTCTGCTGTGCCCACAGGCGTTCAACTCCCCACTGCCCTGCTTGTTGCCGCAGGGGCTCAGCCCCACCACACCTGAGGTGAACCTGGAGCCTCACCCTTCACTGCCCTGCACCTCACCTGTGTCCCAGCCAGGTGTGGGTGTCCTCCCCGCACCCCTGCCCTGCTCCTCACCTGTGTCCCCAACCAGGTGTGGGTGTCCTCACTACACCCCTGCCCTGCTCCAGCACACAGCAGCTGTGGCAAGCACCCTCCTCTCGCTGTCCAGTGCCACGGGACAAGCAGTGAAAGCACCCATGCTGCAGGCACTGCATGTCCAGCTCCCTCCCAGGCAGTTCTCTCATCAGCTGCTGGCTACAGTCAGGGATTCCTGGGGATTTGCTGCACACTCGGAGCTTCCCAAGAAACCAGCCGGGCCCTCCCACACCCCCAGCCCAACATTCCGATCTCCCACCCATCGCTGTTCCCTCATCCCCAGGTGCTGCAGCACTCCACCTTGGTGTTGGGCACCTCCATCCTTGCTGGGGTCTTCATGTGGCTGAGCAGCTCTGGGGCATGTCCCATCAGGCAGCCGACAGCGCAGCACCCTGCACTGCCACTGCCACTTTATAGGGCCTGGCACAATAGGGCTGCCAAAAATACCTGGGGCAGCGGGAGCAGCCGGTGTCTGGGAGACGTGGGAGCGCTGTGGCCGGTAGCCCGGAGACCGTGCAGGCCTTTCCCCTCATTTGCAGCTCCCCATTGTGAGGGTAGGGGTGCCTGGCACTAATGAGGCCATAATTGCCCACGGGCTGTGCTGCTGGGCTGGCTCAAAGGGGCTGAAGGTCAGCGCTGGCCGGCTCTGACAGCAGCACAGTGTGCGGGGCCGCTGCTCAGAGCCCTCTCTTAATTAGGCTAATTAACCCCCCAAACAAAGGGGTGCCAGCAGCTGTACAGCTCCCTGACTGACGCGGGGAGCCGTCACCCTGCGCTTGGTTGGTGCCAGGGAGGGAGAGTGCCACCAGGGTCCTGTACCCGGTGCCACCCTCCATCCCCTTTGGTGACACCGTCCCATCCTGGTGCTGTGCCTGGAACAGAGGGAGTCACAGGCACCAGGGAGGCTCTTGCACTCTTTATAACCCAGACCCCACACCCCCCCCAGCCTTTGCTTGTGCTGAACTCCCTTGCCCTGGGGTTGAACCCAAACATTTCCCTGATGCCAGAAGCCACATCTGCTGTTCAGGGATGCCCTGGCCCTACATCTGCTGCACCAGTGAGCCTCCCAGCCCCTCTGCAGAGTGGGGACCAGAGGGATGCTGTAGAGGTGACAGGAGCAGCCAGGATCCTTCTGCCAGCCAGATTTTTCCCAGGGCTGGTGGAGTCCAAACCTGCAGCCCTGGGGAGGGTGGGCAGGAGCCCAGACCTGGGGCTGCTTTTCCAAGTGGCATCTGGCACAGCAGGCTGGGGGTACATGCACATGGGCACTGGGGTACCCACTGGCTCCTCAGCAGAGAACTGGCTCCAGAAGCAGATGGAGGGGACGGATGAGTCCTCTGGGAGCTTGGCGGGGCAAGAGGGAGCAGGGATATCTCTCCCCAACCTCTCCACTGAATTCTGGTGCAAGCCCCTCAGCAAGGCAGAGCACAGGCACCCAGCCTCATACACATTGCCCAGGCAGGCTGGGGCTCCCTGCTCCCGGCCCCTGTGGCCAGGGGTGCTCAGTCCGGGCCCCGAGCTCCAGACCGGGGTCAGCAGGACGCTGTGTCGCCACCTCCGTCCGTCTCCGGGATGGGCTCCAGCGGGGCTTGCAGCCGAGAGGGCTCGGGCGAGGCTGATCCGTTCCTGCCGATGCCGCAGGACTGTCCCGCATTGTGGATCTGCCACAGGTTGTCCAGCGCCTCCGCCTTGGCGTGCTTGAGGAGGTCAGCCTGGCCCTGCGGGGGGGAGATTTCGGGCGGTGTTAGGGGGGAGCAGGAGGGTGACAGAGCAGGGCAGGGCAGGGCAGGGCAGGGCAGGGCAGGGCAGCCCTCGCCCCTCACCTTGAGGACAGTGATGTTCCAGGCAAAGCTCTCCAGCGCCTTCTGCAGCTTGCGGCCCCGCAGCCCTTCCTTGGTCTCGATGCGATGCAGCTCCTTGTGGAAATCCATCCCTGATTGATGGGAGAGGTGCTCAGTGCTTGCAGGGACGTTGGCACAGGGACAAGCCACCACCCACACCAACAGGGACCAAGCCAGAGGGATGCTCTTTGCCCATCATGGGATTGCAGGCTGGGTGGGCTCCCCACCGCCCCAGCAGCCCCAAGAATCCTCCATGCCTTGAATGATGGGCCAATGGACCCCCCAAATACCAGCCCCACGGTCAGCAGCACCCCGTGGCCGTTCTGCACCCAGACACCATGAGGTCCTGAAGGGCAGTGAAGACCCTGGGCAGAGACACAACTGTCGCCCACCATGGCTCATTGTGGGGCATTCAGAGCAGTGCCACCAGACCCCCCCACGGCTGCGGGCCCCCTCACTGTGCCCCACGTGCCATCCCTGTGAGTGGGTGCTATATTTACCCCTCGTGACGCAGCAGCGGCTCCGGGCCCACGCCGGGGCTCCCACGCAGCTCGCTCGCCCTGGCGCTGCCAATCAGCCCGCCCACAGCCCCGCGCCCCCACCCAGCTCCCCGGGGCCCCTGCTCCTGCCAGCCTGCGCTGGCACCGCAGCAGCTTGTCCCCAGCACGGCCAGGGTGACAGCAGGGACCACCAGGACACGGGGGTGGGGGCTGCAGTGCCAAATTGCTGCCTACCAGCACCCCGAGGGGCTGCACACCCCAGAATCCTTCTGCTCTGCAGAGCAGTGCGGAAGGGCACAGCACCAATCTGTGCCCTGCAGCTTGTGCCCCACTGCTCCGCTCCCCCAGGGCTCACAGCAGTGGCAGAGCTGAGCCAAGAGTTTGGGGAGATTTCCGTCTGCAGCGTGGGCAGGGAACAAACCCGGCTGCTGGCAGCAAGGCTGGCATGGCGGGGACAGCAGAGCAGGGCCCCCTCCTTCTTCCCAAGCCTCTCCAGCTCCTGACATTCTCCCAGCCCCACAGGAAGCCCACAGAAGCACCTGGAGCTGGGGGGACTATCCCTGTGTGGTTCCAGCCAACAGAGGGGCCTGGAGGGGGGCCAGAGGTCCCAGGCAGCTGCCAGAGTGGGGGCACCTGCAGGGAGGACCAGGGCAGGCAGCAGCAGCACCTGCCTGTGTGGGTTCTGCCATGTGTTTGGGAAGTCTTAACACTCAGTTGCCATTTCTGCCGTCAGCCCCAGCCTGTTATTTCTGGCACTAATTATGTTCTGGCGTTTGACAGCTAATGACTCTTCCCCGCTTCCTCATCATTCTCCCCCACTCTGCTTGCTCCCTACCACACAGCTCTGCAGCCCACCCACCCACACCCTGCCCCAGTGCAGGAATCCCTGAGCCCCCCAGGACGTGCCTGGGTCCACCACCAGAGCCAGGGCAGAGCTGGGGGTGCCCTCCAGGACCCACCTGCCTGCTGTGCCTGGATGAGCTTCCCATACACGGCGTCAGCAGACTCGATCAGCGTCCGGCTGGTCTGGATCATCTAGGGAGAGGGGCAACATGAGCAGCTGGGCAGCCCTGGCCCATCAGGGGCTGCCCCCTGCACCAGCACGGTGCCCAGGGTCTGGCCCTTCCCACCCCACCACACACGGCCGGGTATGGTGTGACCAGCACGTGGCCAGTGGCCAGGTTCCCTTCAACACAAAAGAAGGAAGCAGCTCTGGCTGTGGCTGTTAATGGGATTTCTCCCACCTGGTGGGACCAGGGCAAGGCACAGGCAGTGCAGGCACAGGGTAGGGGCTGCAGTGTCCGAGGGTCAGACTGACCAGGGCGAGCCTGTGCCTTGGCAAGACTCCTCCCTGGGCAGCCCTCATGCAGCCCCCAGGCTGTGCACCCTCCCCTCACCCCAGTGAGTTCAGGGTTCCCCATCCTTGGACCTTCTGATCCATCCCACAAAACCTGCCTGATCCATCCCATAAAACTTAACCAGGTTCACCCCACAAAACCGACTCAGGTTCATCCCACAAAACCTGCACCACCGCTGGGTGCTGGTCCCGGTGCCACTGATCCCAGGGAGCCTCCCCAGGGAGCCGAGCCCCGGCAGGACGGCACTTACCGTGTCGTAGGCAGTGAGGACCTTGCGGAGCAGGTCGGGGATGGGGCCCTGGGCCTCCATGGGGGGGTACTGCTCTGCCAGGTTGAGGGTGACGCTGGGCGCGCTGTCACTGTGCAGCAGCCATGTGGACACTGTCAGGATGCACTGCTTCATATTGGCAGCGGGTGTCAGCCCACACAGCTCCTTGAAGGACACCAATGCATTCTGCAGAGACCAGCGTCCAGTCAGGAGTTCAGCTGGGAAGACCCCCAGGAGCCCCTCCCGACACAGGAACACCCCCACTTCCCACAGCTCTCTGCTCCAGGTAAGGCTCCTCGCCCACACTCCCCAGGAAAAGGGGAACAGCCTGGCTCCCCACCACTCTCAGTCCAGCCCCATCCTCCCCTGAAGAAGCCAGGTCCCCCGGTGCCTCTGCAGGGTCCTACCTGTACATTCTCCCGCAGGTCAGTGGCCTCCCGCAGCGGCTGGGTGGCCGTCCGGAAGACTTCATCGATGGCTTTGATGCCGGTGGCCTTGGTGGAAGTGTACTCCCGCACTCGGCGGCCCCGGCGCCCTGCCAGCCCCCGGCGGTGCCCCTTGCCCCCGCCACGGCGGTCAGTGATGGCCACGTGCACAAAGAGGGTGGCGTGGGGCAGGGGCTCCCCGGCCAGCGACTGGAGGGGGACGTGGCGGTAGCCGGGCTGCAGGCACTCGAAGGGGATGGTGTACTGGGCAATGAACTCGTCCCCGATGTAGTCATCGTCCAGCACAACGAAGCGCAGGACGGCCAGCTCCGGCAGGTTGATCTGGAACTCCAGGCTCTCGTCGAAGATGGGGTTGTCCCCGCTCTGCAGGGCTGTCTTGGTGCGGTGCTCGGCGCAGTCGGCCGGGATGCCATGGATTTCAGCACAGACATAGGGCTCCACAACCTCCCCCTTGGCCCCCGAGCCCTTGGGCTTGGGCAGGTTCTGCCCGCTGATGACCTTGAGGTGTAGGAGCTGGGCAGGCACGCCGGGCAGCGAGTCCTTGGCGTTGGCACTGAAGTAGGAGACCTCCTCCCGCATGATGGCCGGGCGCAGGACGTAGCCACAGGCCCCGTTCTGCCGGAACCAGCCCGCATTCAGGTCCATCATGAGCCCTGGTGTCTGGTAGTTCATAGCCACCATCTGGCAGCCGCACTTCCAGAAATCCTGGGGGTTCATGTTGCTGGCGTCGATGCGCATGGGGCTGGGGTAGATGCGGGAGAGGAACCGCTTGTTGTAGCTGACCAGCTCAGCCGGACACTCGTTGGCAAAGCGTCCCGCCTCCACCTCGCTGAAGGAGCACATCTCCCAGTAGCGCTGCCCACGCCTCGAGCTCTCAAAGTCCTGGAAGGGCACTGCCTGGCAGAGGCTCACCAGCTCCGAGAGCTCACGGCTGAGGCGCACCCGCCGCAGGCCACCTCCCTCCGGCGCCTCCCGGTCCTCCTGGCCCAGTCGCCGCGCCAGCTCCCAGCCTTCCTCCTCGTCCGACACCTCCCCCTCGCTGTCCTCGCAGGTGGGCGGCAGCTTCTTGCCCTTGATGAGGATGCGGCCCTTGAGCTCCTCCGGGGAGGGCAGGTAGGAGGCCACGGGGTTGGGGGGCTCCAGGTACAGCTTCTCCCCCAGCGTCTTGCGCAGGCACTGGGCAGCGAGCCGCTGCTGGGGGGCCGAGCAGCGCACCACCAGGCACAGGATGAGGGGGTAGGCGGAGGCAGTGAAGGCGTGCTGGTCGATCAGCCCCACCACGGCACGGAAGGGCACACAGGAGGCAGCCGAGGGGCTGGTGTAGACCACGGGCTCACCCTCAGGGCCATCCCACAGCACCAGCTCGATGCTGCGGCAGCCCAGGCCCAGGGCACTGATGTAGCCACTGATGTCCGAGCGGCCCCAGAAGTTGTCCTCCAGCAGGCAGGCGCTGTGGGCAGAGCTAATGTAGTAGTGGGAGAGGGGCTGTGCCATGTCCTGGCAGACCTTGCGGTGCTGGGGGTCAAAGATGGAGCAGTCAGCAGAGAGCAGGTAACGCGTGAAGCCGTCGATGGCCAGGTAGCCCTTCTCCCGGCCCTCCTTGGAGGGCTCGTACTTGCTGACGATCTCCAAGCACTTCTCCTCTGTCACCCCCTCCATGCCCTGCTCCACCTCCAGGAACATCAGCAGGTCCTTCACACCCAGGTATTCCTTGTTGCTGGAGAACTGGACCAGCAGGAAAAAGATCTCAGGGCGGGTGCAGAGCTCGCAGTATGCCTCCACAAAGAGGTCACAGGCCACCTCCGTGCCAGGACGCTCGCTGGCCTTCTGCAGCTCCTTGAACTTCAGCTCGATGGTGGAGGTCTTCATGCCAGGGTTGAGTGCTTTGATCAGCTGCACAGCCCGGGCCACGGGGATGCGCCCAGACTTCTCCAGGTCAGCCAGGTCGAAGACAGAGGAGATCCAGGACGTCCGGAGGCTGGGGTGGCCAGTCCCGGGCGCCTCAGGGCTGTGCTTCCCATAGGACACCAGGTAGCGCAGCCCCATCACCCAGGCACTCACCACATCTGCCGAGCTGGCCACCAGGTCCAGGGACTCGTAGTTGTCCCCATAGATGATGGAGAAGGCGCACTCATCCGGGAACTGGTCGGAGAGGCCATTGCTGCGCAGGACAGGCGTCTTCTTGCCCAGCCGCACCTCTTTGACCGATTTGATCTCAATCTTGGCCTTCTCTGAGTCCTTCTTGGAGGGCTCCCAGCGCACGGAGCGCAGGTCGGCGTCCAGCACGAAGAAGCGGCTGTACATGCGGGAGTTGGAGCGCACCTTCTTGAGCTCGCAGCCCTCCAGCATGAGGGAGATGCAGGCAGCTGTGCTGTTGATCTTGCGGTCATTGGGCATGGAGCTGAAGGACACTGTCTTCTTCTTCTGTGGAGGCCGCTGCCGAGAGCCATCCTGCCAGGGTGGGAAAGGGGCAGAGCCGTCAGGGACAGCCAGGCAGCACATGCCCCACCAGTTCCTGGCATCCTCCTGCCCCATGGTCCCCCCACCCCAGCACTGCCCCAGGGTGCCCCAGCACCACACTAAGCCCAGTCCGCTCCAGTCCGCCCCTCTTCTGGGGGCTGGGAGCCAGCTCCAGCCCTGGCTTCCCTCACAGCTCACTGCCTGGCTTATTTTAACTCTGCTTTCCTTCCTTCCTTCCTGCTCCTGGCCCTGAGCTGGATCCTTCCCCGCTGCTTGCTCACCCTCACAGGCACAGCCATGCGCCAGCAACCCAGCACAGCCCCTGTCTGGGGAGCAGAGGAAAACAGACACCAACATGTGATGCACGGGCAGAGCTGCTCCTTGGGAACCAAGGGAGATCCCCCACTCTTCTGAGAGGAGTGGGGCAGGACAGCCCCTGCCAGTGCCACGTGCTGGGGACGGCCATGGCTGTGTCGCACAGGGTCACCACGGCACGGGCTGTTTGCTGCCAGCACCTCATGCACACACTCTGCCCTGCCTCACCACAGGGAGGGAGCCCAGCTGCCACGGGGCTGGCAGGGGCAGGGGATAAGGGGGAACAGCAGGGCCAGGAGTGTATTATGGGATGGATTTCATTAAGTAGCACAGTAGGAGGAGATTTAATCCACTTCTTCAAGATTATGGTGAGTCACCTCTAATCTGGTGGTGTCTCTGTCAGAGGCAGGTCCTGCTCAGCTGCCCAGGTTAGAGGTGAGGGGTTGCTCCTCTCTAATGCCCCGAGAGCTTCCACAGCTCCCACACGGGGCTGCACCAGGGCAGGCACATCCCGTGCCTGGTCCTGGAGGGTCGGGATCTGCCCCACGGGGTCAGGCAGACACAGCCAAGGGCATTTGGAAAAGTCACACAAATGGATGTACGGTTTCCCCAGGGAATGGGGAATCCTCCAAGGATGCCCAGGACACAAAGGCCCAGGGAAGGAGGAACAAGCACCAGCCCTCAGCCCCTTGTTAGAGCCAGGCATATCCTCCTATCCTGCAGCTCGGATGTGGTGGCTGTTCTCATCCTCTCGCTGCCAGATTGCTCCAGGGAGCTGGCCGAGCTCCAAGACTCTGCCTCGGTGCCAGCCATCCCGGGTCGGCAGGCGCTCAGCGGCAGGTCACGCCATCGGCCAGCCCTGCGGGGAAGGACTCGACGCCGGATGCCTCCTGCATGCTGCAATCTGAGCGCCCCACTGAGAGGCAGCCGCAGCCCCCAGCTCGCCGCGGGGCGATGGGCACCGGGGGCTGCACCGAGGGCTCCGGCAGGACCCCCCCTCCCTGCGGACCCCGCCCGGCGCACCCACCCCGCGCAGCTCCGCACCGGGCCCCACGGCTGAAAACAGGAAATCCATCCGGAAAGGAAACACGGGCGGGGGGCCTGGCGTGCACCCAGCGCCGGGGACCTGCTTCCAGCTGTGCCCGCTGCAGGCAGCCAGACACAGCCCACCGGCACCGGCCCCGCCGGACCCCCGACCACCGGGCTCGGGGTGAAAGCACAAACGCCCTCCCTGCAGACCCCCGCCCTCCCAGGCTTAGACAGGGGACATGGTGCCTGCTGCAGCACTTCGGGGTGCAGATGTGTGGCACAGACCCAAGAGCACTCAGGTTCTGCTTCTCCCTCTGCACGGGCAAGCGGCAAGCAGGGGATGCGAGGAGTTCCCGTCTGCAGCTCCCCTACGCTCTTCAGTGCAGCCTGGGGACTGGCAGGGAACAGTCTCTGCTCCCTGGCAGCCCCTTCCCAGGCTGTTCCAGGTGATCTTCAACCCACGAAGTGCTGGGAGAGGCACAGCAGGAGCAGCGCAGGCAGGTGATGAGTAAGGCAGCAAGGAGGACACGGTGCCCATGGCCATGGCAGCATGGAACACCCCCAGACACAGGGCAGAGCTCCAGCCAGAGCAGGGATCCTGCTCACTGTGCCACCGAGCTGGCAGGGAGCAGGCAGGGCTCCACAGAGCAAAGCACAGACCACGATGCGAATGCCAACCACGGTGCCAGCGGCGAGCGTGGGCTCGCACGGAGGGCACGTTCCAGCCCAGCTGCCTGTGCTGCCCAGCTCTGCAGCATGTGTTAATCACCTCTTCAGCCAATTATCTCCTGCATTAGTGCCCTGGTGAGTGCTGATGCCCTAATCTCAGCCTCCACGTGACTGCCACGGTTACCGGCCACATAACCACTGTCAAAGCACGGGATGGAGAATGGCCCATCAGTTGTCCCTCCCTCCCCTTTATCCCCCCGTCTGGCCGTGATGTGATTCATCAGCAGCTGAATTCCCCAGGTCCCGGGTGTCCCCACTATCCCAGTCTGGGCAGCGTGGGCAGAGGTGCAGGCAGGCAGCAGCTCTGGAGCTGAGGCAGTGGGAGACCAAGCACAGTCAGGGCTTTTCTACCGTCGTTTGTTCCCTGCCAAGCAGAGAGCGACTGACACATCCACTCCCCGCGGCACCAGCTGACACTCCCCGGCGAGGGGCCGTGGAGTCAGATCCCGGCAGAGGCACCACACAGCTCCTGGGGCTGGCACACGATGGGAAGGGGGCTCAGGGGATGACTCCTGCAGCAGGGAAGGACAGACCCAATACCCTCTCCAGCATCCTCCCAGCCCACAGGACCACCAGCCCCTCTGCTTTCTGTCTGAGAAGAAAGAAGGGAGCAGGTCCTCTAGCCAGGACACGGGACACTGCAGGGGACAGCTCTGGACCCTCCTGCCCCAGGCCCCCTGTCTCCACAGAGCCAGTGAGTCGCACTTTCAGATTCACTCCTCCAGCCTTTTCTGGAAATCCCAAAAAACAACAGAGCCGGCAGCTCTTCCCACATGTGCCTCTGCTGCCACTCAGGCCCCGCATGGACTCAGAGATGCACAAGGGATCAGCACAAGCTGGGGACACTGCTCGGGTCTGACCTCCCCCCAGGCCAGCGCTGGCCCTGGGCCACCCGACCTTCACGTGAGGCCAAATCCCGCGGTGACGCAGGCGGTGACAGGGATGCGCGATGTGCCTGGCCCGGCAGCAAGCGAGAGGTTCACCACCCCCAGCCCGCGGTGCCCACGGATGGCCCCTGGGCAAGGAAGGATGCTGTTCCATCCCGGGAGGAGCAGGAGATCCTGGCAATGTCCCCAGGGAAAGCGGGCACAGCCTCTGGCTGCACGGGAGCACCGGCAGGCTCCGCTCCGTCCCCGCGTGGGCACAGCCCGGCCGCCCCCGCAACAGTTTGCAGCGAGAGCCCAGGCGGGCACGGGCAGAACTCGGGGTCCCGACACCTCTGCCCAGAAAACTGGATCCAGGGGACGGAACAGTGGGGTTGGGGCACCACGGAAACAGCCCCCTCACGGGGTATTAATAGCACCGGAGCAATCCCAGCTTAAAATAGGCTGCCGGGAGCACGGAGGCGAGTGCCGGGCGGACGTGACCTATTGTGTCAGCGCGTACCGCTGGCAGCAGCACAATCAGGGGCGTTCATTTAGGAAAGCACACGTGTGACCCGCTGCCCAGGTGGGAGACCCCCGAGACCCTCCCTGGACCCCGGCCCCACCACGTCCCGGCAGCACCAGCACCAGGAGCAGACTGCAAGCTGCTCAGGCCAGGCCCGAGGCTCAGTGCTTGTCAGGAGAGCCCGGGAGAGCAGAAGCTGCTCGAGGGGTGGGAGCGGGCATCTTCTCACGGGAGCCAGGGGTGTCCTGAGCGGGACCGGCTGATGCTGCAGCGTGGCCGTGACACTTCACAGCGCGACGCACGGACACTCCACAGAGCCGGGCCGGGCCAGATTGTGCCCTTGGGGACCCTGGGTCCGGGCAGGGCGCGGGGACGCTGTGTCAGTCCCGGTGTGAGCAGCACCGCGGGCAGGTGGCGACCCTCGGTCGCCCGGGCATGCAGCTGCTCTGCAGCTCCTCGGAGCCGCTCGGGCACAGGGGGAGCGAGGAGCGGGGCCAGAACGGGTGCGGGGGGACGCGGGGCTCGGCGCGGGGACTCGGCTCGGCTCCCCAGCGCTGCGCAGGTGCCGGGCCCGGGGCGCGGGGGGGCCGGCCCGGTGCGTTGCCGGTGCGGGGCTCTCACCTTCATGATGCTGGCCCGGGGCGCGGCGGGCGCGGGGCTCCGCTCCGCCGAGTCCTCGCGGCTGCTGCTGCCTGAGCCCGAGCCGGGGCTGCCGCCGCGGCCGCCGTGGGGCCCGTTGGTGTCCAAC